GTCGCTGGTTTGACGGTATTCGTCCTTGCCTGGCTTCTTACCAGGCAGCGCCGGGCATGCCCACCGACTTGGTGCGTTTTCATACACCCAACCAAGCTTAACTAGCTCGTCGTTGAATTCCTGCAAGAATTTGCGAAGGTGCGGCGGATATTGTCTCGGCTTACATCGAAAAGGTTTTGCTCCCTTTCGTAAGCGTAGCTCTAGTGGAGGGACCTTAGCCGGGGGATCTGGACCCAATTTCAACCTCCGAACATCGAACATGTACACAATCGTTCGCAATCTGTCCACCTTCTCCAACGGAAATCCATTATCGATGGCCTTCGCGACCATATTCTCCACTGCTCGCCGAACGTCATCGTCCGGAACAACTTCAAACAGGACATCATCTTCAAAAGGAATTGGATCGTCATCGTCCATCGCACTCCTTTCCGCCAGTTGCTCCAACTGCCTGTCTATACTGATACCGAGGTCCTTCAAAATGTCCTCACCCAAAATGAATTCATCCTCGTCAGACTCAATCACCAGCACTTCATAGGGCTTCACAGGTCTTACTGGTCCAGCGGCAGTATAAAGCATCACATGCAAGGGTACAGAGTGTTTCGTCACAATCTGAAACTTGCCAACAGTCTCAAAGAAAATCGGGCGAGGTAGTATAGTCTTTCTCACAGTACCACCCAGCTTCTCCAGTTCTTGCAATTTTTGAGCACTGATTATGCTCCTTTCCGCCCCGGTGTCAGCGCAGTAGGGCATGGACAACCTTCCTTCAGCAACAATTGTTTTGTCGTGTCGTAATAGGCAATCCTTAATGCGCTTTAACCTTCAGACATCGCTTTCGGCCCTTTTCGGGACCTTATTGCGATCACGGCGGTCGTGCATCTTCTTCAGTAGCTCTTTCTTCATGTCTGCAGATGCATCCGGACAGTGTACCAGCCAGTGATCACCCTTGCAGTGCAAGCAGCCTCCGGTTGGTGGACTAGAACCCGTGCCTTTGCCGTTTTTATGCTGTCCATGCTTAGCGTCACCGCCACCAGCCTTCTTACCACCACGCTCAACTCTATGGTACTTCGCCCTTGGCTCGGTATGCCCTTTGGTTCCGTTGGTTTTCTTTGTTCGCTCAAATTGAGTTGAAGAACGAGAGCGCTTTCGGCGTTGGAAGTCCCGGTCTTGCTCAAAGGCCTTGTCCAGGATGAGTTTAAAAAGCTCTTTTTCACTCTCCTTGGCAATCCTTGCTTGGTATTTGATGGTAGTAGTAATCTCCTCGCGGAGACTGCGGGGCTCGAGAGATTCGACGAGCAGCTTGCACTTTAACCGCTTTCCCTCGTTGCCTGTGAAGAATTCCTGTTAGCCCTGTTCCTCGATGAACTCGCGGCTCTTCGCAAAAAACTGCATCACCCGCTCCCTGACATCGCTTTCTGTCAAATCCATTTTTACATTTTCTTTGAACAGAGTAGCAACATATTGTTTTTGACGGACGATATGATTTCGTCCACCTTGGTGATAATGAACTCGTCGGTAACCGTGTCCAAGTCCACCTCCCAGTCAAATTCGCACCAAACTTCAAGAAGTCGCTTATTGAAGGACTTCTTGACGCTGACCAGCACCTCAGCCATTTTTCAGCGTCGTTCTTGCATCTCATCGTTACTTCGTCTTCGTACTCGCGGCGAAGTTTCCGCCACTGTACCAGAGCAGCATGAGACGTGCTCCTCAGTTGGGGAGCAGCCAGCGGCATAAACAGTGCCACCGGAGCCGTAGACGAGTCGTTACCCGATGGACTTTGCGTCGTTGTTGAAGTCCCTGGTGTCGTCGAAGTACTCCTTGTCGATATCGTCATCTTGACCTTAGCACTGCTAAAGAATTCTTTGTAGTAGGTCGCAGTAGTGAATACAAGACGGTCGGAGGAAGCTGGCACTTCCTTAAAGTATAGCCGATTGTATTGCTTGTGTCTTGGTAAAATGTAAAGTGAGATAGAATCATGCATGCAATCCAAAGCTCTACATAGCTATCACCAGCGTCCCAGTGATAGCCCAGCCTCTAGCAAGGACTCCCTAACTAGAACCTTCACCAGCTTGAGATGACGAGCTGCAGCTTGCAGTTGTAAACTGCAACAACCTGGCACGCTGGTGGCTGACTGCAACCACATGCTGGTTGTCCAGCTTGCTCGTCACTCTCGACTGTATAGTGTGGTCGTGGTTGGGCTTTCAAGCCGCCACCCACTACAGTAATACATGCATACTATGTGCATGTAGTTTAACGGACCTTCACATCCCGTCGTTACTTAATAGCTACCAAATCCGCCATGCCCCGAAATCCTACGAGGCGGCTACGCCTTATAATAACTGGGCCGAGAAGGTGGTCACTCTCTCGTACTATGTCCTGCAAGGCAATCGCTGAATGGGCCGTAAACGAGTTCTATCTCCCAACCACTCCCGGCAAAGCCACCTTGTGTTGTATTTTCAAGTCGTCAGCTACACTACTGAAGCGATCAGTGGAAGAGGCTACTCTATTATCAAAAAAGTGATGCATGCATTAAATCGCTTAGGAGAAGGACACGCCGAGCCTTGTAAAGTGATTATACTTACTGCATTGATGTGGTGAGAGAGTGCGTGGTCGAAGGTGAGCGCGACAACCATTCAAACATTCGGGTTTAGTTAACAAAGCGAGCATCAATACTGCCCTATTCTTACTGGGGAATTGGATCCAATCGACGTAAAGCTCTCTACCGTGCATCTCGCTCAGACACTCTGCCCATTGGTCAAACACGACGCCGATAGTAGACTCGTCCACTTCCGTAATTGTGACGTAGGTGCCACCCTGAAGAACCCATCGCATGTTCTTCTGTTCTCCTTCCGCTTGTCTGTTGCGTAAGCTCGCAGCCGATTCGGCGATAGTCATGATGTACTTGTCCACACGTTTACCATCCGATCGCCGTTCTCGTGAGTGTCGTGCGGCAACAAGGTACCGTAGATGAACGTCACCCGGGATGTTACCAACCATAACCAGAGCCTTCTCGTCGAAGCTCTGAAGTGGTTGATACCAATTACTTCCGGTCTGAGAACAGCCCCAACTTCGAGGCGTCACTAGCTCTGGCCAGACATTCTTTTCAAGATTCAGTAAGATACGATACGAATCGTCCAGATTGCAGCGTAGTCGTCTCGTGAATCGCGCGTGGGCTACAAAGAATGTCCCTGCTTTATTGCGAACGAGAGGAGCGTAGTCCACTGTCCAGCCGAGAATCTTCCCGACGGTAGCGGTACAGGGATGACGCTCGGCATACGTGACGACGTTGTCCTTGAAGACGTTGTCGAACTCCTCTCGAGTGAACGGACTGAAGTAGAAGGATGGCGCACCGTTCGCGAGTTGTACGCGCCTTCCATCACCGCCGCTTTGAGCGAGATCTGAAGATTCTTCCGTATGGAGCTGGTCCAGAAACTCTTGCGACTCACGCCCCACATGCTCTTGAACCGTGATTTTCTTCTCGATAGCTTCTCGCAGAGCCACGTTCTCACTCATCAGAGCTGCGCGCTCGACGGTCACGTGACGATACGCCTCAGCAGCGGAGCGAATCGTGGCGTTGTTGAGCGCTATGCGAGCTTGCAGCACGTGACGCTGTAGTTCCTTCTCCAGACGTCGACGCTCGTCGACCATGTTGGTCTTTTTATCCTTCTTCTGCTTCCGCCACTTGATCATCCGCCGACGTTGTTGTTCGCGTCGCATTTCCTCCCGCATGGCCGACTCGAACAGCTCCATCGGTGTGGACTTGCAGTTCTCTTGCTTGGTGTTATTCTTCTTCGGGAAAGGCGATTCCTCGATGCTTGACAAGGTAGAAGACACCATTCCTGGTCTCGGGGAATAACTCGGAATGACGTGAGTTTTTTTTCGGTTGCAAGAGTGGAGAGCTAACAGGTGAGCACATCAACGTCTGGGATCACGTGGTGGAATCGTAATCACAGTATTATTAATAGATGCGATTTTCGAGTCAACAGTACCCTTGTATGGCATCCTTTGGGTAGTTAATTACACGCGTTGCAGTATTGAGCTTGTCAAGGAATTTATCACTCTGTAAAGGAATCTAGAACTTGGAATCCAAACGAAATCCCCAGCGTCCCATCTTAGCTACGATCTTCATGTCTCCACATGTTGCGTCCAGATTTGTTTTAACGTGGTTCGCTATTTTCCATCGCATCTATGTCGGGTCAGCTTGGAGTCATCATTGCTTATTCCTCTCCTTTTCCTAAGCAGCTTCGTTTGCTGGAGCATGTCAAGTGTGAGATCACGAATCACTCAAGTCACGAGTGAAAAATTCAGTGATGTTTGTTCACGCATCAAGTTTAATACAGTCACTTACTTAAGTATCAGTTAAGGCTGCTGTAAGTACCTTAGTTCGTAGTATCTAGGTCCTGGCTTCTCCCTTGAGAACGTATTGCCTACTTGTCGCGTTGAACCCATAAGTCTCTTCGTCAAGCACGTCAATAGAATTTGACTGTGGTCTCTGCAATCTGAAGGTACCGAAAGTAAATTTATCACTCGTGACCTACCATAACGCGCCACTTGAATGCAGTTATAGCAGCTTACCCGTCTTGAGTAGCTCATGATTTCATAGTTTCCATGGCGCACAGTAGTGAGCGAGATGCTGCATTTTTAAGGAGAAGGTAAAGACACAAGATGACCCGCCCCAAACAAATCTGGAGAAGATCTCCACGTCTTGAATGGTGTTTTGGGAAGCGAAAACATCAGTAATAGACAATGTATTATAGAGTACGCTCGAACCAGCTATAAGTACCGCAACATTCGCTGCTTATACGAATACCAACAGCACAGATTGCAAGGACGCGGTATATAATAGGACGCAGCGTTCAGATATAATAACTTGCGATACCGTATTCACCTCAGCTGACATTGAATTACGACACGACCACGTGATCGCAGACTCTGATGTGCTCAACCGGCTGTCGTCCTCTTTGCCTGTAAGCGACACATTCACGTCATTCCAAGTTATTCCGTCGTCAGCCAGTCATGGTCTCCGCTGCCTTGTCCTCACGTCCCTCAAGCGTCCAGCGCACATGCTATGCGAAGGAAAATGACACGCACCACACAGAGTCGAAGGCTCGTCAGTCTGCTATGCGGGAGCAGATACGACGCGAACAACAACGTCGACGGATGGTCAAGTGGCGGAAGCAAAAGAAGGAGAAAAAGATCAACATGGTCGACGAGCGTCGACGTCTGGAGAAGGAGCTACAGCGTCACGTGCTGCAAGCTCGCATAGCGCTCAACAACGTCACGATTCGCTCCGCTGCTGAGGCGTATCGTCACGTGACCGTCGAGCGCGCAGCTCTGATGAGTGAGAACGTGGCTCTGAGAGAAGCTATTGAGAAGAAAGTCAAGGCTCAAGCGCAAGTAGAGCGCGAGGTGCAAGAGTTTCTGGGCCAGCTCCATACGGAAGAATCTTTAGATCTCGTTCAAAGAGACGGCGACGGATGGCGCGTACAACTCGCGAACGGCGCGCCATGCTTCTACTTCAGTCCGTTCACTCGGGAGGAGTTCGACAACGTCTTCAAGGACAATGACGTCACGTATGCCGAGCGTCATCCCTGTACCGCTACCGTCGGGAAGATTCTCGGTTGGACAGTGGACTACGCACCTCTCGTTCGAAATGAAGCGAGAACTTTCTTCGTGGCCCACGCTCGATTCACGAGACGGTTGCGTTGCCCTCTCGACAAAGCGCACAGGATCTTACCCCACCTCGACAAGAATATCTGGCCAGTACTAGTGACGCCACGAAGCTGGGGCATTTCTCAGATTGGAATCAACTACTTAAGAGCTTCGACGAGAATGCTGTGGTTATGGTTGGTAACATACCGGGTGACGTTCATCTACGGTACCTTGTTGCCGCACGACACTCACGAGAACGGCGATCGGATGGTAAACGTGTGGACAAGTACATCATGACTATCGCCGACTCGGCTGCGAACTTACGCAACAGACAAGCGGAAGGAGAACAGAAGGACGTGCAATGGGTCCTCCAGGGTGGCCGGCACCTACATGACAGTTACTGAAGTGGATGCGTCGACGATTGACGTCGTCTTTGACCAGAGGGCAGAGGGTCTGAGCGAGATGCACGGTAGAGAGCTTTACGTCGATTGGATCCAATTCCCAGTAGGAATTTAGCAGTACGTCTCTCCGACAAGACTGTTAAGTTGGTAACAGCACAGTAGGGAGCAGTTCTTTTCATTTATTCGGTCACGTTGTATGCTCTATGACCTTCAGTTTTTTATCGTACACGCAGCCATTGAACGTCAAAAGGCGAGCGTTCGAGACGGAGTCACTAGCTGTTCCCAACGAATAACGATGTGGCCCCAGTCCACGACGCAGTACTGCGCGTGCTGTTCATTCATACAGCCGGAACAGTGGTCGTACACCACCTCGAGGGTGTCTCTGTCGATCTGTGTAAGCGTCATGTACGCTCCACCTTCATTGACCCAGTGTACACGACGTCGTTCTGCTTCTGGCTCTGCCTCGCGACTACGTTTGTTGGCATCAGAGGTCACGACGGCCATCGCGTAGTTGACGGACCGGCGTCCGTCTGGTAGCTGGATCCGTCGCCGACTTACTAAGTTGAGGTATCGGACATGGACACCGAGTGTGGGATTCAGAGTATTCCGCGCGATGACGTACGTGTCCTCGTCAACCGCTTGCAGAACCTGAGACGTACCAACGTTGTTGTGGATACGCTGCCACAGCTCTGGAGTCGTCAGCACTGGCCACGAGTCGGAGTCTAGTTTGTCCATCGTGGCATGCGCCGATCCTCCAGCACAATGAATACGTCGTGTGTATCGAACCCTCGCGATCAATACGTTCAGACTCGGGTGTTGCACCAGTGGCGCACGTTCGACGTCCCACCCGAACATGTTGCCAACAAGTTCCATAGGCGGAGACACCGTGAACTTTGCGTCGTAACCTTGACGAACAGCGTCCAGTTGCTCTTTTGAGAAAGGATGGAAGTGGAACGACGGCTCGCCGCCTGAAAAGTGCACGCGCCAGCCGCGCTGCAGTGAAGCCATGTGCGATAAGGACGATGAGCCGGAAGACAGCGAGCTTCCCGAATTGCTCCCATCTCGACTACTGATGCTACTGGTCGGTTCAGTGGCGGCCGACTCGAGCCCGTCGCCAGCTTCGACGACGCTCTCTTGCAGCGTCTTGTGTCTGTCGATGCGATCTCGCAGCGCGGTGTTCTCGATCTTAAGCGCTTCCGTCTCCGCTATTAAGTGAACTACAGCGGAGCGCTTCTCTTCAGCTTGACCAGGTCGTTGATCTCTGGTCGCGCGCGCCGCGGCACGGCGCTGCATGGCCAAATGCTGTTGTAGACGCTGTTCGAGCTGCTGATGCAGGTTGCGCAGCTCTGCTTGCTGTTCCTTCTTCTTGCGTCTGAAGAAGACCATTTTCTCTCGATGTTGTTGACGCTTCCATTCCTTCTCGTCCTCTTCGGTCCATTTCCCCGCCGTGGACAGCAGCCAGTGGCTCTCACTGGCCAACGGCCGTGCGCCGTGGCCGATACGCAACGGCGCCGTCGTCGGCCGTACGGACATGATCTGAGTGCGTGAAGTAAGCAAGCTTGTAAAAAGCTATCGGATACTGTATGCTATTACGTAGCGTGTGTGCCACAGAGCGTCCGGTTCGCTGTCACTGGAACGGTCAAAAACGTGGCTACTTTCGCTTTCTGGTCTGGCTTGGAGGACACATCAACTTGACGATTGAGCGCCTTTTAAACGAGCTGACTCAGCGCCCTTGTCGCCATTAATAGTTGAGGATTTTATCGCTACGGTTGCAAAGACCTTCAAAAGGTGAGGCGGTGCGACGGCAAGACCAGTCGCTCCCACCGACAGGCGATACTTAGCACTTCCACCATGAGATACCGCGCGTGCTCCTCACTCACACACTCGTAGTCACAGCCGTAATGTAGACGAAACGTTCGCGCGTCGGTCCTCGTCGGTTCCTCGGTCAGTAACAAGTACGAGATGCCGCGCTTCATCCACTCGATCTCGTGGAGTTGAGCCGTGATGTCGCCGACGCCTTGGCAGTCGGTTGGGCTCATGATCGTCTTGAGGAGCGCCACGACACGTTCGTTTTGCGTATTAAGCCCTCGCGCGCGTGCAAGGATATTAAAGTAGCGGATATTCCGCTTGTGGTCGGATTGAACCGGGGCATTCTGAATGAGCACGGTCATGTCGTCAGTGACCTTTTGAATGACGCGGGTGGTCACAGGTGTGCTGTAGATGGACGCGAACTTCTTCGGGTCGTGGAACGCGTCCCACGTGCGGTTAACAATGGCGTCCATCGAGTCGTCCACGAGGCGCACGGTCTTGACAAACTGGAAGCGTAGAATGTTTGGATCCACTGTCAGTGGCCGCATCACACGCCAACCAAAGAATTCTAGCTCGGAGATCGGCACACGCCGCTCCATGAACTCTGAATACAGGTTTAGTGTGCGCTGGAAAACTGTACGCACGACTTTTTCGCAGTTTTTCTTCGTTAGTGGGACGAAGTAGATTGGGTCTTCGTCATCATCGAAATATATCCAAGAGTTGGTTCCGCCGGTCGACAGCTCGGGCAGGTCCTCGACCCCTTTGACACATTCTCCGATGTTTGACTGAGCAGATTCCTTCTCTATTGCGTCGTACAGTTTGGAGTGGGCTTCTATTCTTCGTCGTAGCTCCTTGTTCTCCAGCAGAATCCGTTCTTGTACGGCAACCTGTTCAGCGTATTGGTGTAGCTCCTGTCCTCCGTAGTTAGGCACCACTGTCGATTCCGATCTTTGTGTCACTTGGTGTCCGGTCTGCTGCAAAAGGACGCGCAACTTCCTACCTAAAACTTGTTCTTGCTGCTGGATGGCGGCCGTACTCATTTTATGGCGAAGTCGCGAGCGTGCCACCACTTCCTTATGATACTGTCGTCTCCGCGCTGCCTTCACTTCATCAAGTTGCTTTTTATCTATCTCAAAGTTTTCTATCTTGACCTCGTCATCGAAGAGCGGCTCGTTCTGGAACAACGGCCACGGCGCTGTCGCTTGCTGTCCATAAATCGCGCGCTCATCGCCGGTGACACTGCTAGCGCTACTCCATGAAGCCGATTCCCCAGGAGAGCTATGCATCCTGCCGTCGGTGTCCATTTTCGCGCGAACGGATAGAATCTTTGACTAAAACTCGAGTGGGAGGGATCGGACCGTCCGATACGGTCGAGGACACCCAACAACTTGTCCACCACCAGCGTTTTACACTGCCCGTTCGTGTTTTTGCCGCTTGCTTGCGTCTGACCTCGCCGGCGTTTGGCACGTTGTTTGCGCGATGCGATTGCGGAAAACCCTTGCGTTAGTTGTTTCGCCCTGTTGGCTGTTCCGTCCGCGCCTCGTGCGCAGCTACACTTGCGTACGTCAGTGGCGACAGTCCGACCAGCTTTGATTGGTCCTGTGGATGTACTCACATGAGTGTAGGCTAGGTATCTTCGCTCGTCTAGCGTTAGCGACTCGTTTTGTTCTGATATCCGATGGATATAAGACCGATTCAGGGGCCAACGGGTGTCACATCAGTGGTGTCGAAGTCCTGATAGCTACATGACGTAGGTGGGCTTTCGGACGACACGATGCGGCATGGTGTAAAGTGCCGAGCAAGATTTCAATGGCGCCAGCGACCACTCCGCTTTGATTTGCGTTAACGTAACGTTAGTAAGGTAGCGAAACGTTACCTGTAGTCTGGCGGTGCATCCGCGTTTATCGTCTTGCCAATATCGGACGCAGCGATGCGTGCAATACAGTGAATCGTCATGTATACCGGTAAAAAGCATTTTAACCGAGGAACGGACGATGGACGGCAAGCCTTGGACCAAGGTACATGTACTCAAAGCCGCCCGGGCTCAGCTGTTGCCAGGGCTATGCAGCTTATTCTCGTCGACGAATTTCTACAGTACGATTTGCATCCCGAGTATGAGTGCGCTGGACGCCATGGCCTCAATACTCAAGCAACACACAACCAAAAATGCAGCTCTACTGTACATGTAGAGGCATCCGAAGACATGTTTACAGTTCGTGTAGTACACTGAGAGAAAAAGATACATTAATTTACGAATGAGCAAGCTACTTTCCGGTGATCGACAATGTACGCATGGGTGTCACGAGTTGTTCCCAGCGAACAAGTGCTTCCCCCATATTCATGGTTGCGAACGGCAAGCCCGTGCACGAGGCCGTCTCAGTGTCCACATTCGTGAGGCCTCCATACTCAATTTCGACGCTGTTGTCTTCGTCAATCTCCGTGAATGACAAGTAGCTCATGCCTTCGCGCATCCACTCGGTTTGTGGGTCGTGCACGCGCGTGTTGGCTCGAGGAAAGCACTTGTCGGGGTCGAGGATCGACGTCAGCATCGTCACTCGACGTCTCGTGTCGCTCTCTCCCCCGTTCTGGTCGATCACGCAGTCCTGAACCTGTACGACCAGACACACGAAACGCATGCGCATCACGGCGTTGGCGTCAGGAAATGTACGCATCAACACACTTGTGTGTGCGTCCACATTCTGCAGCATTTTCGACGTCATGGGACTACGGTACATCTGTGAGTACAGTTCTGGCGTACTGATGATTTTCCACGTTGTCTTCGCTAGCGTATCCCCCGTGACGCGTTCGCCATTGGCGTCGATAGCGCTGATTCTCTTAGTAAACCGGTGTTGCATGCGGTTTTTACCCATTTTGTCCTCATGCATGGAAAAGTACACTTTCCATCCGAACGCTTCGTCGTACAATTCCCTGGCTCCGGGGCCACGGAGCATTTCCTGCACACGTTGGTACGTGGTAAAGGCGAGTTCAAGACACGTGTTGCGTGCAATAGGCTGGTAGAAAATGACTGGTTCATCCTCAGAGAAGATGATCCAGCGGCCAACGCCGCCCTCTGGGACGAGCAACTCTTCCCTGCTTTTGGGTGGTCGCTCGTGTTCCACGCCTAATAACTTGGTGAATTTTTGCCATTCGCGGAATCTCTCGGTCAGTCGTCGGTTCTCTTCGGTGATCGTACCTTGCTTGAGCACCAGACTTAGATACCGTTGCTGTACGAGTCTGGCGGCCGTGCTCTGGCCTTTCCAGTGATCGTCCTGGTCTTCTAGATTTTGGGAGCTTTCTTCATCTACACTTGCCAACACCTCGACGCCATGTCCTTCGTCAATGTTTCGCGCCTCTATCTCGGTAGAGAAATGTTCGATGGCGTGCTCTAGCTCGCGCGTGAGACGCTCGACCTCCACACGTTTGACTTCGATACTTTTCTTCTCGGCCAGACGCTGACGCTGCATGCGGTCGCGGTGACGTGCTCGCCGGACCTCCGCGGGAAGCCGACGGCTCTTAGAGACGTCCACGCTATTGGGTGACTTGGGCTGGGTCATCTTCTTCTGCACGGGCGAGAGCTCAAGCTCCAGACTGGAGTCCAGCGGCTCCATCGTGGCTGGTGCGGGGTGTGCGCAATTTTCTGAACTGACGGCGCGGCGAAAAACTGGCGTGGCGAAAAACACTTAGGCTTTGTATTACGCGCTGGCCAGTCTGAGATTGTGACTGTTCGCAAAGCTCGTGCGGACACTTCTTTGGCGACAAATGTACACAGCTTCCACGACCAAACTGTTGACGTAGAGGAGAGTACGGTAGGCTGATGTGACGTTCGCAAGGACATCTGACAGCGTACGCAGGCGACGCTTTCAACGGTTGTACTAACTAGTACAGTAGTAAATTTGATGGAATGGGGTTGGGATGATTTCCTCGCGGTGGTGCTTGCATGTATTGTGTGCAAAATGAATACATGTACCCTTAGTCGGCGATCAATGAAATAAGTATTGTAACTACAGTAAAGGGAATTAACGGATGTCGGCGAGATCTTTGTTGGATAATGGAACGCTGCAAAGAACACGAAATAACAATGTGGACAAGCTGCAGTCACCATTTGTCCACATCCTTTTATAAAAAGTTGAAGAGCATTTTTAAACAGATAAACGAGGAACACGGTCAACAAGTCGAAACGTCTCGTGCATTCGTTTATTTAAGGCTTACTAAAGGAGTCGTTTTGCTACTGGTTGTTGCTGATCCATTTTTCATCAGGCCAACTCCACTTCCACAGTGAAAGCAATGGGGCTCCAGCGCTAGATCGTAGCAACGGCACACCAGGTGGAATCTGGCCATTCCACGTGGGTAGTACGTGAATATATTCGTCAGAAAACTCGTGAGTAGATGGCTGATATCCTTGTAGCTCCTGGTCAAGTTCGTCATCTTCATCGTCGTTTTGGTCAAATTTTGGATCATGGCCACGAACCTCGTTCAATTTTTCGTCCGTGTCAGTTGAACTCGTTACCTGCCAACTCGCAAGTAGCTGAGCTCGAAGCGAGTGCAACAAGGCTAAACGCACACGATCCATGCACAATTTCGCTAGATACACGCGAGCAAGACACTGGATCTGAACCACAGCGTGTGTCTTCTGCACTTGTCTGGCTTGCAGCTTAGGCAGTAAGAAGCGAGAAATTCGTTTTGCTGCTTTCGTTCTCGCAATTTCTGTAGCTGCAATAATTGCCAGCGCTGCCAGTGTATCTGTTGTCTCACCTTCAGTCACGTCTGTATGACGGGGAGGAGATCTCTCACGACCATCCGAACACGAAATAAATCCAGGTTCTTCTGCAGGTACCTCGTCCACGCTTTGGTTGTTCTCATCGCTTTCATTCTCGTCCTCCGGCTCAGCTTTAGACTCGGAATCAACGACAATGTCTAGCAAAAAACATTTTCGAAACGAACTATCCTCGTATTGGTTGGAGATCAGACATTTGCCAGTAAACGCAGCAGTGTCCACAGCCTCGCGTTTCTCTGACGATTCACCCTGCTGTGGTACATTTAAAGCGTCATCCGGTAGAGTGGCCTCCCGATCATTCAAGCGCTCGTCATTCTTACGGAACACTACATCTAGTGTCTGTTCAGCTACGTTGAGTTTGTCTCGATGAAGTGTAACATCCACAATATCAGCTGTAACATTTTCCTCCCTGACGATTGAGACGCAAGCTGCTGCCACTTCCACGTCCGTTTCTTTGGAGCCGCAGCTAGCCTCCATTCCAGCTCTCTCGTCTCGCATAGTAATCGACGATATACCTCCACCATCGGTCAACTCCGGACGTATATTTTTGACTCGTTTCGAGTTTTCTCTCCAGGATTGGTACCTTAGCAAAAGCTTGAGGCGGGCTTTTTGTAACAAACTCGCCTGTTCCTGTTGACGACGCTCTTCTTCACGCAGATGGCAAATGCGTCGGTACTTTCTGTAGGATCGCTGGATCGAGCGGATGGCGCCGAAGCGCTGCAATCGTTCGATGTTTTCTACTCGCTGAGCTTCTGCCAGTTTTCTTTGCTTCTCGAGTTCAACTATCTTCCTCCAAACGCGTTGAATTTTAGCAACAGCTTGATGTCTTAGCAATTGCTTTGCTAGTCGGCGTCGAGTTAGAAAATTTAGAATCATCATCTGGATGATGACGGCACTTCTAAACTCCAAACGATACTGAACAACACGCTCCGCTGCGTCTGCGAAACTTTGATTCAGGTTTTTCCGAGCTACGATCCCCACTAGACGACGATATCGTGCCAGCGTTGAGCCTTGGATACCCTTTGTCATCATGATACGACGGATGTATCTACTCCATTCCGGTCGACGACTTTGTATTTGAGTTTTGCATGGGCTTGTTCGTTTGACTTTAGATATTGCAGGCCTATCTGACTCATCGTAATAAAGACTGCAGTCGTCACGGCTTTCGCCTCTGTCGCTCACTGATTTGTCCTCATTTCGTACAGCCAATACTTCGTTGATGGCAGCTTGAAGTGGCTTAGGAAGTGTCTGACGCTGCTGATTTCTGGTCTTCTTGAAGATCGCAGGGGCCAGTGGTGCCAACCGTTCAGTGCTGCAGTGAGTCCGTGCGTTGTTGTTACTGCTGGATAACAGTTTGGAGCTCGCCATCGCACGTAGCTGACTGCGACTGTAGGATTCTCGATCATTTTCTTCAAAGTGCGAGGCGACAAATGTACTTAACAAGTTGTTGCGTCGACTGGGGCGTCGAACCAAGATGGGGAGAGTTACTGTTTCCTCGTTTCGACAAAGCTGGCTTGTAGGTTTCTTCTTAGACAGGGTCTGCGACCATGGACGTCTGGAGGCTGCGGTGCCCGATGAAAACGCGTCCATGGCTGTAGATCCAATGCGTATTTATACAGAATGATAGAACGGTGGTTACGATGTTTCAGATTTTTGGCTTCCACTTAAATATTGAGTTCTAGGAGTCTAGAGCTGCAATAAAAAGGTCACAGATTCATGACACAGATTTATGACTCAATATCAGTTACGGTGTTATCATTAGGCGGTTACGTAGCGGAACGGTGCCCTAACCTGTTTTAGAACCTTGCCGTCCAGATCCAATCTTGTTTCAAGCAACGCCAGACATTCATTCTACATTCGGCGGGGCGACTGGGGTACAGTGCCCAAGTGGCCTCCGGTATGGAGATATCTCGTCTACTCCATGCGCCTACAAGCGACAACCAGCTCCAGGACAGCCAAGACCAACGTTTGCAGGACAGCAACGGGAAGAGTGTTAAAAATCAAACTCGAGCTCTTGTCTCCGTAAAGAGGAAGCGGCGATGGAGACCGTCATTCAAGCAGATTCGCGACAAGAACCAACGCGATACTGACAATTCGCTGCTCCTGAACCTCACGTTAGACGTGAATGATCTGCGTCAGCAAGTCCACGACTGTCTCGTGCAGAAAAGTATCCGCGAGACGCGTTTACTTGTGGCCAGAGAGCAGTTCCACGCCCGGTCGCTAATGTCAGTCGAAGGTTTCTTCAAGGTCTTTCGTCACGGCCATCCTAAGGCTCTCACAGCCTCCGAAGAGAATTTTTTAACACGATTATTGGACGAGAATGTTGGTGTCGGGGGAGACGTTAAAGGTCGAGCGGAGTTTTACGAACAATGGCAGCGATACAAGCAGATATTTAACGTGCGCCGTATCCGTAACTTCTCGACACAAGTTGTTAACAGTGATGCTGGAGGCTGCTTAATTGAGTGTGTCGGGGAATTTGAGGGAAAAGTGACCGTCGCAGCACTCAGCACGGTATTCCCTAACTCATTAAAAGATGAGCTTCTGGTCCAGCACGTGTTGGATCGCCGCTTCGTGTGCCCCACCAAGACTCTCGTGAGTATCGATGCCTATGGGCGTGTGGTGCAGTACGACGCGTTCTCGGACGTCTTTGAAGCCATGTGCAAGCTGCTGGACTTCAATCCGCTTCAAGTTGTGACTCTAATGACCGATGCTGCCATCAGGGAAGGCAGCATGCTTCCCCCCGTCGTTAAGTGCATCGTTCAAGATTTGGTTGATGGTAACGTGTCGCCTGTGAGCAGCACAACGTCGACCAAAGGCTCCATCAAGTTCATTTTGTCCTGACTATACGAGGATCGAGCTCATAGCGCCACAGGACCGGAAAGGTACGGGGGTTGCACCCCGGCTCGTTGCCAATCAAATATATGGATTTGCCCTGGGCGATTGCTTCGTTTTGCTGATAATACTGAAACTACAAAATCTCGATCACATCTGCTTCGTCAGGCACGGCAGTTTGACTCACGACACCGTTGGTTCCTGGTGTTTGCTCGATTGTGGCTGGTTTGGCCGCATCCTCGTCATCTGAGTCCAACAGTTCAATGAAATCGCTATTGCTATCCACCGTTGTCTGTGGACTCTGGTCTTTTGTTGTCGTCGTTGGAAGTGGCGTAGAAGGGATTGGGACCTTCGACTCAATTTCAGGTGCAGGCTGTGGCATTGCTGCGGTAGATTTAGTCGGTATTAACGGCAGCCCTTTCTCCTTGGCAATCTCGTTACGTAGCCAGATATCGTCATGCATGTCCACATCTCCTGGTAGCTTGTTCAGCTTCAACCACTTGAGTGTTTCGGCAATACTCACTCCACTCACAATATCCGTTAGTTGAGGATTTACCTCAATCGCCAGCGTCGCTCCACACTCTTCCGCCTTCCGCTTCAGATCTTGACAGCCTTTAATCCCTCGTCGTAGCACAAGCAGATGTCGTTCCTTTAGCTTCATATTCATGCGCTCCTGCATGCGCAATTTTGCTTGTGCTTCCGCTTGTTTTCGCTGTTGATCCGCTTTGAGTCGCTCTTGCTCCACTCGATGACGAATAAGCAGCTCCAGTTTCTCATTCTCAGTCAGCTTACTGTTTCCTTGTTGCTGGTCGAAAATTGCCTGTAAGTTGGGAGGCAAGACCCGACTCGTCTGAGCTCCTGGGGCAACAGGTGGTCGACCTGGCACTACCGTCGTCGACGGGATTACGCCTACCGCAGGCATGGCAACGCCAGGCATACGGTTCATAAACGAAGGTACTTGTAGCTCGGACGGAGGGACCGCTCCAGTGGTCGATGTGGGCCGTCTGCAATACGTGCATTCAATCCTCGTGGGCACTGGTACTTTGGTCGTTGAGGACGGGTAAATCTCGTTGGGCGCACGACAATTGTCGCAATGCTTCATCAACATACCGTCGCGACTAATGAGATGTGTCCCTCCTCTGCGTAAAGTCCGCACGGCCTTAAAGTACATGTGCGTCTCAAGAATCTCCTTCTGTTCGGCAGGAGAACACTGCTGGTCCAGGTCTTCTTCAAACATGGTTTCTTGCTCGAACCAATCAATGATACATCTTCTGTCCGTGAGCATACCGGCCGCAGTAATGTCTCCATTTTCGTTCGCAACGGCAGTAGTGGATCGATCTCGCATGTCAGTCAAGATACTCTCGAGAACAGAGTCTTCGTGAGGAATCGCTTGGATAGCCAGCTCTTCGGCATCTGCTGCCTTGCCTTGAGCATGAAGCAGGGATTCCTCGAAGTCGTCGATGCTGAAATACTTCTGAAGCTCCGAGGTCATGAATTTACGCTCCGTGGTCTTCTCATCCACGATACGTTTCGCAACGCCCTCTTTACGGATCTGCAGGTCGTATACCTTCTTCTCCATGGTCCCCATAGTCACGAATCGGTACACAAACACCGGCTTTGTTTGTCCAAAGCGATATGATCGACACATGGACTGCGAGTCGTTGCAAGGATTCCAGCACACATCGAAGATAATGATCCGGTTGCCAGCACACAGGTTGATTCCCTCTCCTCCCGCTTTTGTTGAGATCATAATCAGGTCGATATCTTCTTCCAAGTCGTTAAACTGCGCGATCTGACGGAATCTGTCTTGTTGAGACGTGCTGCCATCTATACGCAAGTAGTTGAGCCGTTTGGAGTGACGACGCTGGTACTTGTTGTGCTTGGAGATCATCAGTCCGATCGTATCTAATGTCGGGATACTCTGAGAGAAAATAATCACGCGGTCCCCGACGTCTTGACACGCTGAGAGCAGCTCCATGAGGATCATCATCTTGCCACTGGCTTCGAGTTGATGCGGGACGTACTTCTCCATAAAATTCTTGGCAAACTTCAAGCGATGCCATCCTGCGTCCGATGTCTTCGGTGGTTTCGGCGTTGAGGCAGCACTCGGAGCATCTAGCATACTCAACAGGTTCGCTTCGTCTCCATCATCATCGTCGTCGTCGTCATCAACCACAGGAGGACCACGAGTCGGTGGAGACGGACTGGCTCGGCGCACTTGTCTAGATGTTGGTACGTCGTCGTAGGAATCGAAGTCATCGCCGCCGTCCTCCACACCGAAGATATCCGATACACCTCGTCGACTTGATTTCTTGCTGTTTCCACTGCGTTCTTCTTCTTCCAGACGTTTATATGTCTCACTAATGACATCTGGGTGATTCGAGATAGCCAGCGCAATGTGATAGCCACCCAGCACATCCAACCTGTCGGAATTACCACGAGTAGGGACGCCATACTTCAGGAAGTCTCTGTATAGCTGTGCTTGGGCGTCTGTAAGCTTGCACATCAACACGTATTCCTTCTTGGGAGGTAGCTGTTTGAACAGATACTGCTGATCTCGACGCAGAACCAAAGGCTTCAACTCTCGAGTCAACACAAATGCTCGTTGTCTCGCCAGCTTCAAGTCTGCGTCAGAGCTATCAATACACTGGCCATTCTTGATCGGAGCCACGAATCTGTTCTTGAACTCGTCCAGTGAACCTAGATAGTCCGGTCTTGCAAAGTTGACCATCGTCCAGTACTCTTCCAAGTGATTTTGGAGTGGATAGCCAGTCAGAATGATGCGTCGTGTGGTCTTGACATGAGCCAATGCCTTGACCAGTTTGGACTTGTGATTACGGACTCGATGGCCTTCATCCAGCACCATCAGATCTGGTCCTGGGTCACACAGACACTTGTATGCCTGTTTGATCATGTGTGAGTACTTCTGGTTACCTGGAGCGATCTTCTCTTCGCCACTAGACTGTAACACAAGCAGACGATACAACTCATAGCCTGTAATCAAGAGTCCACCCCGTTTGTGCCACAGTTTGACGACATTCACCCGATCCGACATCTTCTTTTCACGACTAGACTCTAATGTGAAGAGTCCGAGTCGTCGAGACTCCTTCTTACCGAGCCATTTCACCACCTCAGCTTCCCAGTTACGGACGCAAATCGTCGGAGCCAAGATGAGCACATGCTTGTGTCTTTGCTCAAGTCTGCCGTCCCCATTCAGCGTCTTCTTGGACAGAAAAGCCTGTACCGTTGTGATTACCTGTAAAGTCTTACCTAGACCCATAAAATCTGCCAAGACACAGCCGAAACCTACAGGTTCTTGTGCAACATGGCTCCATAAAAACTTGGCGCCAATAACCTGGTGAGGTTTAAGCTTGTCGACAAGGTCCTTGTACACGAAGATCGGTGCGTCTTCTGTTCCTTCTTCACCTGTAGGCGGCGTACCGTCTGTTGACAACGGGTTTAGACACAGCAAGTCCTCTTGCTGCTCGTCTGGGACCGCTAGCTGGTCCTCTGATAGGTTAGAGAAGTTTCCTAAGATGGCGTCGATCTTTTTAGCGCGTTTGGCTTCAGCCTCGCGTGCTCTTCGTGTACTTTCGTCTAGATCTTCGTCGTCCATCACGTCTGCGATTTTGCGGCGGCGATTCCAGCGCTCCGCACGCTCTGTACGCTCCGATGGCTGAGCTTTGCGCTTCTTCCCTGTGTCTTTCTTCTTCTTACCATTCGATGAGCTCCGCGAAGATCTGCGAGGCTGGAAGAAGGAGATAATGGAGCCATCTTGGGCTTCCTCGTCGTCCTCGTCGAAGTCTACCCTGTCAACACCATCGCTCTCTTCTTCGTCCTCCTCGACGTCTACTGGTGCGTTAGGATCCCACTCAGCCTCAATTTCGTCGCTACTGTGTGTGGCTGCAGCCTGCTCATCATCCGTAAGGATCTCGATCTCGTCCGCCGACGACATCTCCGCCAGCAACCTGCGTGGTCCTTGGCGCGCGCGGAATGCGGAATTGGCGCGCAAGGGAAACTTGACCAACACTCTTAGCTCGCTACTTAGATCAAGTCAAAAGAAGACCTCGAATGGTCCTTACTTTAATCAAGTCTATGTTGAGCTCATGTTATCCACCAATAAGAGCGAGGAAACATAAATCTATACCGAAAAATGATGGTTGGTTAATGGAGCCGAAGTGCTAGGCGCTACATGCGCGTGTCCTAGCTACAGTACAAACTCATACAGAACGCCTTGCTTGGGTGGATCAGTTGGCTCGCTCTTGTCTGAGTCGCTCTTGGCTGGCGACGTCCCAACAGACGCACCAGAGCTCTCCGCTTTCTCTACACAATCCGGGGATGCGATGGCGACTGCTGAGCTGGTCGCACTCTCCTTCAAGCTCTCGTCGCTCTCGCCCGCGTCTGAGCCTGAAGCTGTGGTCTTTGCGTCGGTGCCTGTCACATCTTTCCAGCTCGTGACGGACGAGTTGCCGTCTTCGCTCTGCGTCTCCTTCAACTGCTGTTCCCATACGGCAGCACTCGTCGCCATGAACGCCTGATTGGCTGCCAACGCACGTACATTTCGCTCTCGTGTGAGCATCAACTGGTGATAATACGCCTGGACATGCGCTTGTTGTCGTCGACGCTCCTCCAACGCAGTCAGACGCTCCTGAATGATCCGAGGATCCATTATCCCACCTTGCAGTGGGATCACACTCGGATCGTCGCTTCCAGTTGTCGTCATAGCCATTCGGTTAGCAAACATCACTTGCTGGTGGTAATAGTACTGTTGTAGCTGTCGTTGATACTCTTCTGCTGCTGCAAGTTCTGCGTTGGCCACGGTAGTCTTCCCGACTTCACTGTCTTCCGTATCAGCTATACTACTGGACGTGGGCGATGTTTCGACTGAATCCTGTAATGTCTGCTGGAAACTAGCTTGACTAGCGTTCAGTTGTTCCATCTGCTGTCTCTGTTGGACACGAAGACGGAAGATAGCGGCAAGTTTTTCTCGGGTTGCGTTGCCTAATCCTTCGCGACGAGGAGGCAACGGAGCTGTCTTCGCAACAGCATTTGCGCTCGCTGTGTTCTTAGGTTTCTTCTGGGCGACGTCGACGTCCATGTCTGGCTTACGCTTGGAGCCATGTGGACTCTTATCAGGTTTATTGTTGCGTCGTGGCGTCTCTTCTTCCTGTTCTTCCTCAACATCTTCATCGCTTAATGCGTCGTGGCCTTCGAACTCAACATCCAGCACCAAGTCGGCGGTCTCGCTATCATTCTTACGCTCACTGTCCTCGTCTGTCGTACCAACTGCGACTTGAACGCGTCGTGGTGTCCTTCGACCAGGAGAAGACGCGTTTTTAGTTGATCGTGGCGATTTTTTGGCACTTTTCGGATGCTTCGGACTCTTCTGAAGACGCTTAGCGGGAGCTTGCTCTTCTACTTCCTCGCAGTATTTCTTCCGGTTACTGCAGCTTTGAAGAGCTTTCCGTGGCTGTTGCGCCTTCGGTGACGGTGTGTTCTTCCTCTTCAGTGTCTTTTTCGGCTTCGTCTTACCAGCTAATTCCTCTTCTGTGGCGAACAAAGACGTGCAGCCATCCCAGCTAACATACTTGTTCGTGGACTCCTCACAATGGCTTCCGTGTGCTGCTACGTCTTCTAGTTCCACCCAGGCGTCGAACCTCGCGTTCCAGCCCATGTAGTGCACAAAGAGCAGCTCCTTCTCGGGATCCAAGTCTAGGATCCTGGCCTCGGTATACTGTTCTCCTCGGTAATGCACGTCCACCATGAGTTGGTAGCCATGCAGTGTTGAAGCGTCCACAGTCGGCTCATCCTGTTTCTTCTTCGTCTCCTTTTCTTTCTTTGCTTTCTTATGGTTGCGACTTTTGTTCTTCTCGTCGCCTTCGTTCTCCTGTTTGGGTGATGTCTTAGGCGCTCGACTGCGAGTGGTAGGAGCCGAGGAGTCAGCAACCACCTCACCGATCTTGGCACTGGCACGGACAGCAGCGCGTCTTTTGGGGGTCGGTGGTGGAAGAAATGGCACGTCCTTCTTCTCGGACTCCGGCATCGTGGAGCGCAGTAGTCTCCGCGTCACGTACATGGCCCTGAAACTCTCAATATGCAACTTTTAACTCTGTGGCTTCGCGTGTAGTTGATGGCTGTTGTGAGACGTGTATGCGTCACGCTGCTTGGAGTGCAAGAGCAAGAAAGAAGGCGCGTTCCTTCGCCTGGTTGCGCGAATGCTAAAGTGGGCGGCAAATTGGGCCGAAGGGTCGCAAGATCTTTCCATGGAGAGGATAAAGGCACAAAATTGACGAAGAACAGTAGGTGTTTCTGTCAACCACATAATTGTCGAAGATGGCTACACAAACTTCAACTTGTTGAAGAGGAAAGGCCCAACTGCTTGCCGGAGCGATATAACGGACGCGAATGCGCTACACTCCTTCACACAACGGTTGCACTGTCAAACTACTTCACTGTTTAATGATAGTGGAGCTTTAATCATGGAGAAATCGCAATTGCATGAAGTAGTGCTGGACTTGTGTGAGTACTGTTGGTCGAGCCGTACGAGCTCAAGCGCCGGAGGCTCAATCTCGTTGGTGTACCGTCATTGGGCACATGGTGTACGCGTTGTGAGGCTGCTGAGAAGAGTGTACGCACTGGTGTAGGACTGGATGGTCTAACATCAGGCGTAGGGGGCACCGCACGCTCCGACTGTCGTACAGCTCGGCGAGCCATTTCACGCCAGTCGATACGCCACAATGTGAGTACCATGAGACCAAACTTGACGATCTCGCCACAAACAGCGCCCCACCAGAGTCCGTGCAGTCCCCAGTTCCAAGAGATACCCAGAAGATACGAGGTTGGCAGCATGGTGAGCCAGGATCCAACCGTCGTGATAGCCACCAACGTGGCAGCCAATGACATGGCTTCCACGACAGCAGACATGATAATATGTAGTCCAGACAAGAACACAGCGAGGCAGAAGATAGGCATAGTGCTGTCAATGTCTGCGATCACGACAGGGTCTTCTGTAAAGAATCCAATGATCGGAGCTCGGAAAAAATACGTCAGCAGCGCACATACAAACGTCGTGATGCCTCCGAGCAGCGTGCTCACATACAGTGTCTGTTTAGCTGCTGCTGGACGGTTTGCACCTAGGAAGTTGGCCGAGCGCACTTGCATAGGCAAGCCAAACCCCCAGTAGATACCGAACGTGAGACCCCACAGACTGAATAGGACGCTGTTAGCTGCTAGCTTGACCGAGCCCAATGATCCTGCTAGTGCTGAGATCACATTGTACACCCATTCGTCTAGTGCCTGGTTGATTGTCATTCCTACCGAGAGAGAAACGAAAGTGTTTACGCGCTCCCACTGCATACAAGCTGCGAGATCGAAGCCAGCCCACGTTTTTCGGTGGTAACCTTTGTACCAGAAGCCGTACACGACGAGAGCTACCGGTTGAAAGATCGACGACACACTTTGCGCAATGGGTGCACCAATGAAGCCAAGCGCCGGAAAGGGACCGCAGCCGTAGATAAACACATAATTTGTGATCAATGATATGCCGACGCTGGCAACACCGATGACGGCGGGAGGTTCCATGATCTCTTGAGACTGGAGGTACTGTCGAAGCGCACAGTAAATCGCTTGTGGCAGTACCGTAGGGGCAAGGAAGCGAGCGTATCTATCGGCAAGCAGCAATACTTCAAGATCATCTGTGACCAGCCTCAGAACGATATCCACGTAGAAAAACGAGACCATCACTGGAATGGATAGCAACGTGATGAAAATCAAAGCGAGCTGGAGCCACACGCCGACGAGAGCGTAGTTCTTGGCCCCATATGCCTGGCCACAGAGCGTGCAAACTGAAATCGCAAAGCCGAAGATCAGCATCTGCACACCGTTGGTCCATACGCTTGCCAGTGCACTTGCTGCGAGCTCCTTGGACCCCAAATGGCCTAGAAACATTGTGGACACCGTCGAGAGCGAGATCCGACAGAACGTCGTCACACTCACGAGCCAGCCCATGTTCCAGATCGCATACGATTCCTCGCTAAAAGTGGGTAGCGGTTCCTCCGCTTCTTCCTCTTTCATTGACGCGAATTTCTCGCTGACCAAAAGCGAGGTCCCTTCGTCCGCAGTCTTAAGTTTCACGAACGAGGCAGGGCAGTCGTCTTCCTGGTCGACACGCACGACAACATTCGCGTCCGCGGCGCACCATCGTGATGTAGGCTGCCCGTTGATCGTCTTGGAAAGCGTGGGCATCGTCATTGATAAGATCTCCCAGACTGGAGTTGAGTCAGTGAGAAAAGGGTTTTCTGGTGCAACGGGGGTGTAAAATACCCATGTGAGTAAGGAGCACTCCCAACCTTTGCTTAAGAAAGTAGTTTCGGTTTCTATCAATACGCGAGGGCTTTGTCTAAGAAGCGGAAACGAACGGTCCAGCGCGCGTGACGTGTGGGTGGACACGAGCCCGATTCGTAGTGTCGATCGTAACTTCGATAGAATGGATTAGTTACGATGGATGGATCGCGACATGGGCATTAACCATTGGTCAAGTTGAAGCCTTCCACAGTTTTGGTGGCACACACCAGATCACTTCAACAACCATGTATTACCGGTAATCGAAATGGCAACAATGCCACTCAAAAGTGATACATGCAACAAACCCATTGAATTATTCACCATTGACGTTATAAAACTTAATGTTTTTGTTTTCTTCCTACTGCTCACGATTGAAGTTATGAAGCGCGTTCACCGAGCCATACGAACTGCTGTTCATCATATCCCTCTTGCCAGTTGCATCACTAACAGTCTGATGACGGTGGTGCACACGTTGCGGCGTCGACAGAATAGCCAGCACAGGTGTGGTACCAGCAAGCGTAGGAGTCGACGGCAACACGAGTTCGGACCGCAATCGGATGTCTTCCTCCAGCTCCTCCTCAGTCAGCACATCGCCCTCTGATTGAAGCACAGCGCGATGTGCCATCTCACGCCAGTCGATGTGCCACAGAGCAAGCACCATTAAGGCAAACTTGACCGTCTCTCCTACTAGACTGCCCCACCACAGTCCGTGGAGTCCACCATTCCATGCAAGACCCATGAGATACGAGGCCGGCAGCATAACGACCCAGGATCCAATGGTCGTGATGACTACTAAGGTCGTAGCAAGCGACATGGCCTCCACCACAGCCGACATAATAACGTGCAGACCCGAGACAAACACTGCAGTACAGAAGATAGGCATTGTGCTGGTAATCGCTGAGACTACTGCGGGGTCATGAGTGAAAAACCCCGCAAGAGTGTCACGGCAAACATACACAAGCAGAGCCGACACGAAGGCCGTGAGTCCACCCAGCACAAAGCCAACGTGTAGTGTGCGTTTCGCAGCCTCCGGTCGATTTGCACCCATGAAGTTAGCGACACGAACTTGCGTGGGTAAGCCAAAACCCCAGTAGATGCCAAAGATCAGTCCCCATAAGTTAAAGAGGATACTGTTAGCTGCCAAGTTCCATGCACCAAGCGACCCTGCCAGTGCCGAGATGACGTTGTAGACCCACTCATCCAGTGCGAGATTCATCGTCATACCGGCTGATAAATACGCGAACGTACGCATACGTTCCCATTGTAAACAGGAGCGGAGATCCCAGCCGAACCACGTCTTCTTGTGGTAACCTTTGTACCAGAAGGCGTAAATTACGAGCGCTGTGGGTTGGAAAATGGACGCTACACTCTGGGCGATTGGTGCACCAATGAACCCAAGTCCTGTGAGTGATCCGCAGCCGTAAATGAACAAGTAATTCGAGCCTAGTGATACAGCAACACTGGCGACACTGATGATCGTTGCCGGTCGAACGATCTCCTGGGCTTGTAAATATTGCCTTAAAGCACAGTAGACGGCTTGAGGGAGTACACTGGGTGCAAGGAACCTGGCGTATGTATCAGCCAGAGCCAGAATCTCACGGTCATCCGTTACGGCGCTTAGAATTCGGTCTACGTAGAAGAAGGAGACCATAACCGGCACGGACAGCAGGAGCAGGAGGAGTAGCGCCAGTTGCAGCCACACACCCACTAGACGATAGTTCTTAGCGCCGTACGCTTGGCCACAGAGTGTGCATACGGACACCGCGAAGCCGAAGATGAGGATCTGGACGCCACCTGTCCACACATTGGCCAACGCACTGGCCGCCAACTCGCGTGAGCCTATTCTGCCCAGGAACATGGTTGAAATGGTTGACAAGGAGATGCGACAGAAGGTCGTGACGCTCACTTGCCAGCCCATACTCCAGATGGCCCGCGCTTCCTCATGGAAGGTGGGTAAAGTATCTTCTTCTCTGCGAATTGCATCTGTCTCGGCCAGAAGGCGGGTTTCGTCCGAGTCCGCCAATGGTTTGGATTGCCACCCGACGGTGTCGTCATCGAGCGAGTGGCGGTCGATCTGCAACGCGTGGCTGGACGGGGAAGTGTCCAGGGATATTCTCTGCGCGTCTTCCGGTGCGCCAGCGTCTGTAGACGAACATGGTAAGCTACACCCACCACTTTTGTCTATTTTTGTCATTTCAAAAACTGGGTACAAATTTCTGCACTGCAAAGGACAAGTTTTTTTTTAAAACTGTCAAATTCACGGAAGAAAGTATTTCTGAAATTGTTCAAATTAAATTCTTAAAGGTTACTGCTGAATTTAAAAGAACAAATTCACGTAAGAAAATAAAATCCAATTGTACCCTTACCGGTGACTGGAAAACTATTCTGGACCATCTGGGATTTTACCCTTTTTCTGACTACTTATTGCTGATCATTTTTGAGAAGCACATGTGCCGGTTGATATTTTTTCAGCGAACGATTTTCCAAGGCATTACTTACTTCCTTTACATGTAGTGGTATTTAGTAGCGTGTACAGTATAGCTAAGTAGTTTGATGGGGCATTTTTCTGGCCGATCGCTTAATAAGAGACAACAATACATGTACACACAAAATACATGTTTAAATAAGCCTGATTACTGGTAAAGTACACAGGTGGAAAACAAAAGCAAAAATCCTATAAGAATGACGTGCAGGGTGATTCCTTGTGCTGCACCGCGGGCTTAATTCACTGTGGTAATAGCCGCTGTATGCTTATTAAAATAGCGAAACCCCTTCATTGCAGGTGCCGGTACCGGTAAAAGTAGTAAATTCGAACAGTCTTGACAATTTCACCTGGAACATGTGCCATCGTCTGGCAAGTACACTTTATTAATCAAGTAAGGGTGCCATGGTTTTAATAATGCCTATCATATCGAAGAAGCTGGAAAAAAGTATGTACAGTATCAGCGATCGCGTGCAAGTGTCTTTAATTGGCTTAAACCTACATTACATATTTGTTATTTTCACTTTTTCAACTGCCACCTGCCAGAAACATCTCACAGCTGGAGCTGTAGAGCACTTAACACGATTTGCTTTAAATCAAGTTGATGTTCGTAGAGTCAGTGCAATAAAACCCAATCGATCCTTGCTCGCGATCACGAAAGGACAGAGAGGGCCAAAAATCTTGGCCCAAGATGCAAACTGAATCAACTTTTTGGATAAATGTATGATTAGTTGCCGGTTAATGTGCCAGGTAGCGTGAGGAATGTGATCGCAAATAATAATTTATTCTCTTTACAACTCACGGACCCAAAGTGTATGCGGCAATTTACCGCTCTGATAAAAAAATAACTAGGGATGAAGGCAGTGCTCGCTTCACGGGGTTTTGCCGCCCTGCGCCGCGTGGTGCTGCATGCAGAAGTAGTTGTGTTTTTGGTACGAGCGGCGGTTGCATCCGTCTACCTTGCAACGATTCCCACCGCCATGGGCCCAACAGAAGCCGCCGGGTGCAGCCACCTTGGAGCAGCCTGGAGCGTCGCAAATGTGACCACCGCCGTGTGACCAGCAGTAGCCGTAGCGCTTGGCCTTGCTGGTACATCCAGAGATCTTGCAGAGCTTACAACCGCCGTGATGGAAGCAGCGGTTGTACAGACGCGCTCCGTGAGTGCAGTTCGGGAACGAGCAGCGCGAGCCGCCACCGTGGCGCACGCAGCGGCCCCGTGAGACCGCGGCACGTGGGCACTCGTCTTGCGCGCAGATCGAGGACTTGCATACACGCATTTCATCGTGGTTGTCACTGATGGCTAGTAATTGTTCCACACACTTCTCAACGATTGCGTTGTCCGAGAGCAAGCTGCGACCGCCGATGTGCAGGTCGAAGATGCGAGCCTCGTCCTCGTTGATGTCCGATTCGTTGCTGTCGTCCGAGTCGGCCATGCCCATGTCCGCCTTGCTGAGCGGTGACATTACGGGCGACACTGAGGCACTACTGCAGCCGTGCGACGGCGTGTGAGGCGACGTCGAGGGCAACGACGACGGGTTCAAAATGAAGGCCAACGCCGATTTATTCTCTTTTTCACGAAGCATCACCAGCAATTTTGTAATGGCTGCTCGGGTGAACTGATTTTCAAAAGTGATCGCTTGTTTGTGGGACCGCTTCAAATCCGGGAATGACAGAATGCGCAGGGCTTGCGAAAACGCTTTTGCCGCACGCACTGCCATCTCGAGGATGGACCGACGGCCCCATCAAGAGCTCATGGTAACGAGCCGAGATTGGCCGAGTCGAGCGTGACGCAGTCGTCGTAAAGGGGATGGGCACCCAATGGCAAGTTGGCAACGGCCGTTTGTGCCCATGCACCGCCAATGATCTGCGGCGGTGTTGAAGCTGGAGCGGGGCCGAGATATAAACAAGACCGCAGCAGCAAATGTACATGCACTCTACAGTCGTGCACCTCGTATTCGGCGGGGTGGACCATATAGAGTCTACGAGCTGCGAATATTTATAGAGGAGCAGATGGAATCCAAATGTACTACTTTGTATTACCTTAATTAAGTACAAATCATAAATCCATCTTCGACACAATACCAGTGTGATTCCAACAGTTTCGTATGGTCATTGTCGATACGTCTTGCCAACCTTCTGAGCACCACTTCATCGCTGTATAAATATTGACGGGGGTATACGTCTCGCCTTTGTAAAACAGAGACAGTGTCCATGATGGCTCTGTGGCTGCCTTCCTGCACAATGTTTGCTTATTGGCGAGATTCAACGTAGAATAGGCGGACGGGCGACGTGCCATGGCATTTTGCGACAAAATTTATAATGAGCTGTTGTATGGTGAAGTGATTGAGCTGATACATCGTGGCGGAAGTGCGGCGTTTCATCCCTCCTTGAGGTTATTTGGTCCAAAGGAGATGGGCAACTCATTTGCGCAATGCATGTGGCCCAATCATTAGATTGTGCAGGTTATTAAGCCATACCGGGGCCGAAAACGACTGTAACAGCTACGGTACCAGTGCCTACATGTAGCAATACACGTCGCAAGCCTGGAAAACCAACGCGTCGGCACCTCGTACTTCGGGGTTGGCGACGGCCGATTTGATGTTTACGCTTCTCATGATCACCCAGGAGGGCTCCCGTCGGGGACGGACGGAGCCGCTCCAGAGGCTACTGTATTCAATACCCAGAGGCTCGAGCGCCGGTATGTGCAGATCCTGAGAACAGACCGTGACGCACCGCGACAGGACGGTAACGACTTCGACGTTAACTGCAAGATGAACCATAACGCATCAAGAGCAAAACATTCCAGATGTCGGCGGTAGTGGTGAGCCTCGGCAGTACTGCGTTGCCAAAGCCTGCATTCTGTGCATGTAGTTCAGCTCGAAGCGTTTGCTTGCTTGGTTTTGAGTCAAGCTTTTGACTGTCATCTGCTGAGGCATTTCTGAGGATTCTCATCATCTTCAAGGTAATCAGGCTGTGCACAAAAACGAGAGGAGTCCGGTGTTTGACCCGTTGCACTTTGCGTTCACCTTCAACCGCCGGTGACCAGCACTGCTCGAAGCTCGCAAAAACAAATCAAAACAGAGAACGGCTTGCTAGCGGTGCCGCTGTTGGAACTTCCAGCTTGTATAATACATGTAAATAGGGAAAAGCCTCCCGCCCGCCAGCCGCAGGGTATGCAATGGGGTGTGGTCGCTTTTACAAGAGGTATCAGCATGTCCACTGGCCAAATGGTTTCAGTGTGATGGCCCTGTTGGCGTCAGAGGTAGCCGCTGCCAATGAGGCGCAAACGAGCGCGACGCGTCATGACGCCGGAATTTCTAGACCGCCTCAGGTGGGGACGTGGCAAGCGCTGAGTGTACTCGTGCTTGCATGCAGACTCCGAGAGAGCAAAAGGATGATGAGAGCTTTCTTCGATGTGGGAGTGGAACAACGCGCCGTGCTTGAACGAGTTGATGCGGTTTAACACCGCGGTCTGATTGGTGCGAAACTGGTAGGGTCCAGTTAATACCACCGTGACAAGGTGGTATATCACGGCGTGACGTCGCCCATGTGCGACTCCTATCGAGAAGAAATTACGGTAACTTACCTTTAACTTTTTATAGTAATGCTTGTACTACTTCAAAGCTTCATTATGATTAACATTTTATGGGAAGCTAAGTTCGCTTTGCTCCGGCTAGGTTGCTATAATACTTTAAACTCGAATAGGCACTGTGTGTTTCCTGGCTTACACGTTGTGAGCGGAGTGGCCCTTGCAGTAGTAGCCGTACTTCTGGTACGAGCGTTTGCTGCAGCCCTCGAGCTTGCAGCGGTTGCCACCGCCGTGTGCCCAGCATGAACCGCCCTGGGCCGCCACCTTGACGCAACCTTCCTGGCTGCAGATGCGGCCGCCGCCGTGCGACCAGCAGTAGCCGTAGCGCTTGGCCTTGCTGTTGCAGCCCGCGGCCAGGCAAATAGTGGAGCCGCCGTGCTGGAAACAGCGGTTGCGCAGCTTGGCGCCGTTGGTGCAGCCTTCAAACGTGCAGCGCGAGCCGCCGCCGTGACGCACACAACTGCGACGCGAGACCGCCAGACTGGTACAGCCCTTTTCCTTACAGAGGCGTGTCTTCTTCTTGTGAGAGGTTAAGCCGTTCTTGGGGCTGTCGACATCAGAGCTCTCGCCCTCCGAGCTCGTACCCGTGGACGCGCAGCTGTCAACGGTCGAGGACGAGGCCGACGGCACGAAGAGCGACGGCAGTCTCGCGTTGGTGGTACGGACCTTCTTGCAAGTCTCGGTGGCCGCCAGACCGAGCAATTGCTCGAAGTTGCGCTTGTGGCGCAGCACCGGGGTGCTTGATGTGCGCGGCAGCGTGGCCAGCACAGCCTGCTCGCCGTTCCACCCCGAAACGGAGCCGGGCGAAGCCGCGCTCCATGTCGGCGAGATACAGGTGGTCTTAGGCAGCAGAGACGGCAACAGAGGAGCGAGTCGCGTGGCCTCGACGACGGGATTGAGGATGAAATCCAGCTGCGTCTTGTTGGTCATTTTTACCAGCTTGAGTTAAATGAAGCAAATTGAGTTGTGGTGGAAAGTCTAAGTGGCCTCGAGAAGCGTTTGGCACTGCGCAAGAGGCTTCGTGAGGTGAGCTGGGGCACTGGCGAAAGTGCTGGCGTGGCGAAGCCCAATGAGATTCGCGCGCGTGTGGGCGTCGAACCAAATGCAGAAATGGAGAAATGGAGAGCGACGATGGCGCAAATATGACGCCTGGCCGTGCAAATAAGACCGCATTCCAGTCCAGCCCCCGGAACGCCACTTTGGTCGATTAGCCGAGTTCATTGGCGAATCCTAGGTCCGCCGTAGCCACTTAGGTACCGTGAATTCGTCTACGTGGACAGTTGAGGCCACCTGAGCCTATTTTGACCAATCCACGCACGTGAAACCAAGAGACGCGGGTGTTTAGATGGGACAGGTCTCTTCTATCACACGATTGCCCTCCAACACCAGAACACCATTTCTGCTCATGACGGCAGCATTCATCCCGCCAATTGCAGCGCATTGACCTGCGACGCGGCGAGTTATGCGCCAATGAGCTCTGCTCACCTCAACGCGCTGCCGCCGGTGTTCGATACTGTGGCACCAGCAGCTCCTTTAATTAATGCTAAATCTGAATGAATTCTGAAGATTTTGGGACCACCAGAACGGTTTTTTACGATAGCTAGCAAGCTGGGGAATTTCACTACAGATGCCGTCCATGTACACCGAGAGAGCGCTAACAAACAACCTGCCGCCATTCTGCGGCGCAAATCTCTTCGCCGTCGGCGTGTGCTCTCGACGACTCGACGTCGTGGAAGTCTACGCTGCTCTGTCAGATTCTTGACGATTGTGCCTCTTCTTTAGACTCGACTGGCTGTGGAAAGCCAGTCGACGTACAGGTACATGTACTGTACATGTACCTTTGCGACTGTCGCATGTGTGTTTGAGCGCTGCGGATTTGGGCCCGAATCTCGATGCCGTTCGATTCAAACTTTGAAGTACACTGGTACTTACTTGTACATGTACAAGGGCACTGCTAAGAGCCGGTGGATCCGGAGAGATTCTATCGTGGGCGAGGTAGATTCCAGAGCTCGGTTCGCGACTTGCGAAGCGCTTTGTCTCGTGGGTCTCGGGATTCCTGTATCCCGCATGTCATTCGCGAGGGACAACAACGCTATTTTAAAAAAAACTTTTAAAATAACTTTCGTTATAATAACGGTTATTGGTATTGTGCTGTACAACATTCGTAGAGTTGCAATAGAGATTTTATTCACGCGAATGTATGGATATCGCCGGCGCTTCAAACTATCCGAGCTTGATCTAATTTAGGCCGAGCGCGTAGTATTAAACTCATGTAGTTCTCGAGCTTGAAGTTTTTTAAGCGATGTCCTGCATTTTGAAAGCACATGTAGTTTTAATAATACAAGAAGTGTATCAATGCCGTCACCCCAAGTTATGTCTCGAATGAGCCTCTTGAAGTCGCTGAAGAGCAGTCAGACATTTTCTGCAGCACGGGGTGCCTTCCAAAACACAGTAGCACTAAGAACATGAGCGGTAAGCTTACCGGTGTTCATTTTACACTCAAGTATAATAATTGGTTTTATTAAAATGCAAAACTCACTTTCTCGACCGGAGCCTCATACAGTAGATGTAAGCTTACAATGACAACGCGTGAAAAGCACTTAACTGTACTGCGAGAGCACTGTTAGCTTAGGAAAACGCACAAAAATGTGTCTGAGCACTTTCAAATTTTGAAAAACACAGTAAGAAGCCAGAACTTGCCTTAAGATGCTCGCTGGCACTCCAATACCAGCCTGGTATTACCAGGTACCTCCACAAAGGTAAAAGAACAGCCTGCATTTTGTGCATGGCAGGCGCACTCGTGGCTTGAGTGTGCGCAGAGCAAGCGCAATTCAGCCGCCCTAGAGTGGAGTCCAGCGTCCAATCAGATCGAGTCTCCGTTCATTCTCGCGAGCTTGGCGAAGCATGCCCCGGACGCTGCCCTGGAGAGAGCTGGGGTGTGAGCTCGGCGTCGACGAGGCCGACATCATCCTCGGCACGTTCAAGACCCACAGCACGGATAAGAGCAACACAATGCCCTGCACTGTGTGTCGTAGTGGTTACCTTCACAGCATGCGTTACAGGCTGCTTAAATGCGAGTCGGCCACCTGCAGCAACACTACTTGCTCTTGGCGAGGCAAGGTGCTTGTCTGCTCTGAGTCCGGTGACGCCTACATTTATGAGCTGGGGGACCACCTCACTGGTGCGTCCTCCCCGAAGCGCCCGAAGCTATCTAGGAAGCAGAAAGATTACTGCCGAGAACTCTCACAACAAAGGCTGCGGCCACTCCGCATCCAGCAAGCCATGGCCCAGAAGTTTCATCTGCCTGCACCTGCCATCCCTCCTCTGAACAAAGTCCAAAACTTCTGCAACTACTACAACCGCACCGAGCTGGACAATCACGACCGCGTCGACGACCTGACGCAGTGGATTCATGCGCGCGCGTTTTCTGGCACGGAAGACGAGAACGAGACCTTCACGTTCGCTTGGGACCTTGACACGGAGGGAAGGCCTGCTATGGGCGACGGCTCGGATGAAGAGCCTTTTGTGGTAGGTTTGACGACGAAGACGCTTGTGAGACGGCTTTCGCTTCCTCCTGAGAGCTACATCCTGCATATGGACGCCACGTTCAAGCTGAACACGTCCGACTACCCTGTCATCGTGGTCGGGAGATCCGATCGTGTGCGCAGTTTCCACGTCGTGGCAGTTTTCGTCGTCTCTCAGCGCCTGCAGCCGATCTACGAGGCCTGCTTGGCTTCTCTAAGCAGGATCTACTACAGAATTACAAGCAAAAGACTAGCACCTCGTTACGTGATGGGGGACGCCGAGAAAGCACAACGGAATGCAATATTCATGGTGTTCCGCGAAGACCTAGAGCTGCAATATCTGATGTGGTTTTTCCACGTTATGACTAACGTGGAAAAGCGGTTGAAAGGATTTCCCTCACATGTAGCAGCAGCGTTAGTGCGTAGGCTTTACGACCTACACTTTGCCCGCGACTAAATTTCATTTTCCTGGATGCTGGATCACTATTTGCAAACTTGGAGGAGATACCCGGACCTGGTGGATTTCTATTCCTACTTTGAAGGGCAGTGGCTTCGTGTAAACTTTACTTTGTGGCAGTGCTACTTAACTCCCAGTGGTTTCGCCACCACCAACAACCCTGTTGAGCAGTTCAACAGGGTGTTGAAACGAGACTACGCTACGACGACGTTTGAAAATGGGAGCACTACTAGAAGAGCCGAGCGACTGCTGCAAGCATGAATCAACAAAACAACGGGTTTTCCGCGCCACACCAGACGCTGCGCCTGGCCTGACGCGCCGTGTGGTGGAGCTTACTCGCGAAAAGCTGCTGGCTCGCAACATTGCTGCCGATACCAGTCTGGGTGACGCTGGTGTGACGCACGTGTTGGCACTGCCGGCCAAACGCATCGTGGCGGAGGGAGCAAAGCGCTCAACAGAAGGGCAGATAGCCGCGTCAGCGCAAATGGGCGCAAACTACGCGCGGATGGAGGTGCAGGATCAGTCGCCCTACGGTTGGAGTGTTTATCTACGATCGCAATGGTGTCCTTGCAGCTACTGCTTCAAGTTCGGGACGTGCGTTCACCTACTGTTTGCTCAACGGGCTTCCGACCGACTTGATAGAGCAGGGAGGCGATTGCTGGTGAATCGCCGAGTAGCTGGGAAGCGCAGGAGGGATACGCTCGGAGGAAGGCCTCGTCTAATCGGTCAAGCGCTGTCGTTGGAGTGAAGTAGTGTGTCCGGCACTTGCATGCAGCTCTACATCAACTCGTAAACGCCTGTAGTGTACTTATAATACATGGAGGGGGACAGTATATGTGAGTACTTAGTTTCGAATACGTTTGCGAGTCCAGGACACGCTGCAAGCACATTCAGGTCTCGGATTCGCATAATACACATATCAGTACACTTTTAAAAGGCACTGCAAGCGAGGATATTGTAACCAACACTAATATAGCTCCAGCATCTGCACGTTTGTATGTACAGTAGCATATGATCCTCCAATGCTTCGGAAACGTAGTGATGAGAGTGTTCTGACCGAGGAAGTTGGCGGACACTAACTTCCGCGCTTGTACAGTGTCCGATATGCCTGTAGTAAGACATCCTTAGCTAGTAAAGATGCAGGATGTTCGTTTTGCAAGTTCTGGAGCTAAATACGTATGGAACTGATGTAACAAACCAAAATTGATTTAACAGTGATTCTACTCCTACTGCTCCTCCTTCCAGCAGTCGTCACACGCACATTTAAACCAGACTTCGTCGCCGTAGTTTACTGTGATCTGGGTTCCCTCCCTGACAGCTTTCCTCATCTCTACGAGGATCTTTACGTTGCGTCCATTCCGCATCTCGAGAAAATCAGCGTTTGGCTGGCAAGCGTGTGAGAGGAACCGCATCATCGAGCCACAGTGAAGCGCCTCAATGTACACGTACTTCTTTGCTGTAGACTTCGTATAGTACAGCATTGTATATCCACTGTTGTTCTTCTTCGCCACCTCCGGTTGACCTTCGACCTGTGCGTCGTGCTCGCTCAATTGACCGACATATTCGCCCAAAATATCTCCGACATCCAGGAAACACGTAGTGTACACCCCGAGCCCAACCCGCCCGGTATCAAACAGCTTCAACGACGCTCTGTTTTGAGGTCCATTGCTGCACATTGCGTCTAACTTACAGCTCTCGGGGTTGCAGTACACAGAGGACGTTGCGCTGTCGCAAGAGTCGAGAAAGCAGTCTCCGACGCACTGACAGGGGTCGTAGTCTCCGACGTGCGGAAACGACAGCCCTGGAGGAATCCGGCATTCGTTGATCTCATCTACTCCGTCCGGCCACTCCACTGCGGCTATAGGCGGCGGGATCGTCAGGGTTCTCTCCTCTTGCGCAGGATACTCCGGCCGTCTAGCATGTAGCGCTTTCAGTTGCTCTCGTACGAAAGGAAGACTCAAAAAGTCCTTGGTCTTTTTAGCCGTGATGTTGCTAGCATGGTACACATTCGCACCGGACCTGGTAATCGCACACCTCGCCATGTGCCTCTTTTTCCGTGAGCGCGGAACATGCCACTGGGTCGATCTCTTCTTCGCCTGGTGGCGAATTTTACTGCGGTCTAACCGGGTCGGAATGGCAGCCAGGTACTGCTGGGGGTCCAGCATCTCTTCTGGGCTCTCCACCGGCTGCGCGGTGTCTTCGGCAGGATCCTCACTCTCCAGACGTCCGCCTGTACGTGAGGGACTTGGTCGTAGGGCAATGCTGCACTCCACCGTCACAGCCGAAGTGCTGGGCGGCGAAGCGGCGTTTACCACTGATTCCACAGAATCAGAATCAGATTCTGGAACCACTAAGTAAACCGTTATCTCCTCGGAAACTCGTCTTGGCATCTCTTCCTCGCTTGCACGTCCTTCCTCAACGTCTGTAAAGTCACTGGCACTTTTGCGCGGCGGCTGAAAACTCGAATCGCAGGTGCTGGAGCCTCCGACGTCTGGACCAGGTTTATGTTCTCTTGCTGGGGAATGGTGTGGGGCCCGAGTCTCCGCTGCTTCTCTCTCTACACGTAGTTTTTGGGCTACTGCGACAGAAGCATCAGCAACTGCCTGGTGTAGGGCAGCTATCAAAGTGGTGGATCTCCTCGGAAGATCCACCACACCATCCACTAACTCGTACGTCCGCAGCTTCCTCCACAACGCTACTTCAAATAATACGCCCGACATGTCCGACACGCGGCGTATCATATGCGTAAGCTCCAGTACCTCGTCGGTGTCCACTTGTATAGGAAAATCGGCGTCCTCTTGCTGGGCGATCTTCAGGACGCGGCTCTTGCGGTAGCCTCTGGGGTCCCCAGCGACGAATGCTCGCGAATAGTACTGGATCAAGTCGCCGGCTCGAAGGGTCTCGTGCGGTAACTCGCTCCGCTGGAGTCCTACCATGCCGCTGGGGCTGGTGCTGGCGGGTGCTCGGCGACGGCTGTGCGCGACTGCTGGGCTTCGGATCGGAGTCCGATCCAACGGGCTGCAGATCAGCAACTGCAGTCCGCTACATTCAGAAGACATTTGCTCACCGGACGAGCCCGACAAACTGGGGGCCTGTCTCTCTCACTAGCAGATAGGCGAATGCGGCGCAAGAACTGCTCGAGGAGTGCAGGCGTGGGCGGCGCTGCCAAGCGGTCCCGGCCATGGCGTTTTGTGGATTGTTTGCTGTGGATTTCAGGTCTGAGCATGTGTTCCTAACGTTTTCTCGCTTACAATCGACCCATAATTCTGTACATGTACCATCCAAACTTGGTCAGATGAGCTAATCTTGTAAACACTGTGCAAAAGGAGCTGTACATGTACTGTATACATGTATCTGGCGGATACGCTTTCCACTGAATGTATTACCGGTACATGTAAAGAGGTGCGTAACAAAACCATTGGTACTGTACAGTATTAATACCATCAATGGTAATATTACTGAACCTTGGGAATTTGAAAAGAGTACTGGTAGTATTAATGTAAATTCAATATACCGGGAATTTGACAAGAGTAGTTAAGCTTCAATCTTAATTGACAGCACTAGTAATACCTCCTACAGTAGGGGTTAATAGCATTTGCCAAAATAGTTCTTTGCAGCTTTACTAATACGACGACAATTTAAGTAATACTACTACTACTACCGTGTTGTTTGGTATTCACTTTAAGTATAAGTATTACTCGCTGGAGGCGGTACTATGGATCCTTAGCGTACTACTATTTCAAGAACCCCCATTGAGCAAGTCCAACCTTCAATCTGCAATTATACAGTGGTTGGCCCCGTTCATCATTCGTAGAAGATCTTCATTCTCCAAAACGCGTTGTATATCACACAGAGAAGATCGATAGCTTCGTTGGAGCACACCAACCCTACCCTGTGCGGTGTAGGGCCGCCCGGAAGACGACGAGCTGACGACAGACCCCTGCACGGTGTGCACCACATGTGTGCCGTTGGCATGTTGATTATCAAATATTTGGTCCGGCTCCGATTCTGACTTCGTGTTGTCGCCGGACACTACAGAAAAGGAGATCTCTGCCCCTGTCCACCGCGCTGAGAAGCGCCAGAAGTCGACCACCCAGCAGACGAAGCTGGGTTACGACACTTTACTACAAAAGGGAAGACGAAAGTAAAGCCTGTTGCTCAAGAAGCCGAAGCTCTAGATTAAAATCTCCCCACGCCCGTGTCCGAACTTGGTGTCCCTATCTCTGCCAGACATGCCCGGAAAGCTGGACGACTGGTGGAGTTTGGGACCTGATTCACCACTTGGACGGGCCGTACCAGAAACGCAATCTTTGGCAGCCATCGAAGAAGGTTTACCGCAATCAGTGCTCACTGTGCTGCGTGCTGATCAAGGCACGCGCGAAGACGACTCGTTATAGCTGAGAAGAGGCTTTGCGGAGCACAAATAATGCTTCAAGCGCGAAGGATCACATCAAATCCAAGCATGAAGATCATCCTTTAGCTGTAATAGCAGAGCAGAAAACTACCGACAAGGCAAAAAATGACATTGATCTGGCTGAGACAGAGCCTCTTAGTATTCTGGATACGACCTCACAGAAAGATCTTAGCAAAACTGGAGTGGCAGCGTATCAAGCCTCTGCGATCGATGCAAGTTGCACGGTGATCAGCTCCGGTGGGAATCAGAAGAAGCGCTTCTTTCGTCCACACCAGAAGATGCTGAACGTGCTGATTTCGAAGTGGTTAATCTCTCAGGGTCAACCTTACACGGCCACAAAGCACCGCTAGTTGCAAAGCTGATTGAGACAGGCTTTAAATCAAAATATGACAAAATTCAAGCGAGTAGTGTGTGTGGGAACAGGGTGGCGACTATCGTGACTCCGGGTGGTGCTTTAGACGAGGGTGGGGCTGTGATCCAAAAGCTGCGTAGCCTGAGCAACCATTTCAAGTCTTCTAAGCAGTTAAACAGTTTCAGACGGATCCAGCAAGCCCTGCCGTATCCAGAATTTCAGCCGCTAACGGACAGTGATGCACGTGGCGTACATGTGCAAGTTGATCAGGAGATCAATTGTAAACTATGCAGCAGTCGAGGCATACTTTCGAGCTGACAAAGCATCGGCTTCTGTATGGTCCGCTATGATGGCCAAAGACTGGATATTAGCTGCTGAGATAGAAGCTGCAATACTCAGCATTGCGAATCTGGCTCTGGTGGAGAGGCCCAAAGCGAAAACAACGTGTCTTCCTACATGGTCGGTTTCAGGCGACAATCAGAGAAGAAGCTGTAGTCCTTTAAATTTCAAATGATGGTCATCAAGGCGCCGCATTCTAAAGAAGAAAGCGAAACCACCCACGGACGGGTCGAAAGGACACTCGACCACTTTTCGGAACCAGGCAAAGTGTGTCTAAACGAGCACTCCTCCAGTTGCAGGCGCGTTTCCCTAAGGTTACACGAGAATCTTTGGTGTGTGTCACACTAGGGATGCCGAATATTGCATTTTTATCTATTGCTAATCAAAGCAGAAAATAAATAATTGGGTAAGAGAGCTGGCAAGACCGAAATAGATTATTGAGCTTCCTCAACTCAGAAAATAGATTATTGGTGCAGCAATATTGGTACACAGCGAGGGCACAAGTACTAAAGAATGTAAGGCTGATTGAACACCGCCCAATAGATTATTGATGCTACAACGAGGCGAAAATAAATAATTGGAATTACTCTTTAGAAAGCCTCCAATAAATAATTGGTGCTTTCTTATTGCAATAATTGCAGCACCAATTTATTTTTCGGCATCCCTGTGTGTGTGCGGCTCCACCAACGGACGAAACATGCTGAAAAAAGATTGCCGTCGTGGGCAATTTTGCTCGTAAAGGGAAAAAGACTTTGTGTACAGCTGGAATGGACTACCTACGAGAGGAACATCGCACCAGTTTTGGCTCCATGGTCAAGAAAGGAAAAATCCCATTAAATCAGGAGTTTGGATCACAGAGCAGCAGTTTGTGCAGCTAGACGTCAGCCAAAACGATCGTGGGGTCTTGTTCCACAAGGGCATGCCGATGGCTTGGAGAGAAAGAGTTGAATTTATACACACCCGGAGCCAGGATGAAGTGTTGCACGAGCTACGCGCCAGTTACAAAGGGTGTGAACGTATGGGAGATTTCGCGTCTACAACGCGATGGTGATTGTCGCCGAGGAGCCCATGATAAGTTTAGCAAGCGGGGTAACAATTCAAACGATGGCAAGTTATAAAGACAAAGTGGTGGAAAAGCTCAGCAGAGACTAGCAGTGGTAAGCATAAGCGAGAAGTAGAACAGGACAAGGACGGCAAGGGTTTGAAAAATTGTGAAGAACAAGGTATGACCTTTTTTTCGGAGCCACACAAATCCGGAATACTTCCGGAGCCCGGAGTCGCCAAGTTACAGACCAAATACAAATAAACGTTTCAAGACGAGTATGGGAGACCGCAACAAGATGGAGGCAGAGGTAAACGCAGTCCAATTCGATGGAGATGAAAGCAGCGACGCAGACATGGAGGCAGACTACGCGAGCCTGGGTTTTAATATTCATGAGCAATATGACATCGCAGTAGCACGAGCGCCAACATCTACCAGTCGAGGGATGCAAGTGCGCGCTCAATCGCGTCATCCACTTTCAAAGAAGACGCTTCTAGTACTACTTGACACGGGATGCAACAAGTCTACAGTAGCAAAGGAGGTGGTATCGTGGTATGTGCCAAAAGAACGAGGCCGATATTGGAACGCAGCTGGAGATGTGAAACGACTTGTGGAAGTATTGATTTTCCTCTAAAGATGGAAGATTTCTCGCATCTCGGCAGCTAACGCATGAGTTCCAAATTGCAGAAAACTTGTTTATCCGATCATTTTAGGGACTGACGGTTTTGGAAGAACAATGTATCATATTGGATTTTAAGGAGCGAAATATTACGTGGGATGAAGTCATGATTCCGATGATTCCAGAAACAAAACCAAAATTGTTTTGTTTGCTGTTACTAGCCCTGACGATCACGTGAATCGAATTTTGGATGTGACTGGAAAAGATGTGGATATTAATGCACTCGTCCCGAAAGATACGTTGTCGCTGGAGCAACAACAATGACTTAGTGTGGCGCTGCGCGGTATTATAGTTATTTTTTAGGACCCGCTGGAAAGCTTAAGATGCATCCGTACGAATTGCCTGTCAAGCCGGATTCATATATCTCACCGCAAGCACCGTACATTGTCCCACACAAGCTGCAAGCAGCCACATTGCAGGAGCTGGAACGTTTGGTCCGATTGGAAATTCTGGAGCCAGACAAAGACCCCTTGGGCTGTCCCAGCTTTCGTAATTCCTAAAAAACGAGGACTCAGAACGGTTTCTCTCTGACTTTGGCGGCTGGATAGGAAGCTCTGGCGGAGCTGCTTCCCGTTGCCAAAGATACAAGACCTGATTCGAGAGCTTCCTCAACAATGTTTCATTACTACTCTCGATCTCATAATGGGATATAATCGAGAACTTGCCCTACAGAATATGTCATATACGGTCATTGTGCTTCCGTGGGGAAGATACGGTTTTTGTCGATTGCCTATGGGGATTAGCACAGTACCTGATGAGTTTCATGCTGTCATGACGCAGATATTGGGGAACCTCACATATGTACGAATTTACTTAAATGACGTCTAAATTCTCTCACAAACATTTGATGAGCATCTCGAGCATATTTAAATTGTTCTAAAGCGATTGGCAGACGCAGGAGCTGTCGTGCACACGGCAAAAAGCAAGTTTTGCGCTCGAAGCGTGGATTATCGAGAATACAATATTTCTACGGAAGGAAAACAGCCCATTGATTGTGAGGCGATACAGCGCTTTGCGCAGCCGTGGAACGTCCGTGACCTGCGTCGATTCATTGGTATGGTAAATTACTACAATGATATGTATCCAAATCGGTCGCAAACATTTGCACCGCTTATGCGCTTACATCGTCCCGAGTTCCATTTCGTTGTGAACCTCGTAAACAAGCTGCATTTAACGGAGCCAAGAAGTTGATTAGTCAAGTTTGCTACACGCGTATCCCGTCTTTGACAAGGTATTTGATATCTACACGTACGCATCTGTTTACCAAAGAGGAGTTGGAGGAGTGCTCATGCAAGAGGGCAAATCTTTTGCATTTTGGTCTTCAAAGTGCGACGAAACCCAGCACAAATATGCTATTAACAAAACGGAGCTGCTCAGTATTCGTTTGATACTACGCGAGCTCTGTTCGATCGTGTGGGAACAGAAGATACGAGTATCTACTGATCATCGTAATTCGACGCTCCAGAATATTTACTAATTGGACAATGCTTCGGTGGAGACTAGAAATTAAAGAGTACGGACCCGAGCTGATCCACATCCAGGGCAAGGATAATGTAGTAGCAGATGCGCTGTCCAGACTACCGATAGAGACGACTGGGCAGTCAGCTCACGTGGTCGCTACTAGAACTGTGGAAGATGCAGAGCTATTCTATCTGGCGCCAAATTCATCAGGGACGAGCAAGTGAAAGTAAAGTTGAAGCCGACAGAAGCCGTGGTGATGCGAGAAATTAATGTAGTTAACCTGCTTACGACCGTGAAAGATGGTAGAATCGTTGTTACACTGCCGCAGCCCGCCATTATGCGAGCCTACCATGAATGGCTAATTTATCCCGGAATGGCTATCATGATTAAGTCGATCAAGGCTGTGTTTCATCGGTGTGGTATGGAAAGTGATATTAAGAAATGGTTCCAGCGCTGCCAAGGGTGTGCTCGCTGCAAAAATCTCCCCTACGTTTGTGGTAAGATCCCGTCAAAGACGGTCGAAGTCCGACCATGGAATGAAATATCTATCGATTCAATCGGACCTATCGGGCGAGGTTTCGATTATGGCTACAAACATACGATAGTTTGAGCTTGTCGTACAAAACGACTCCTCCGGAGCAGAATCAGCACGAAGTCTCGACCAACTATGGTCAACAAGTACCCTCGACCGAACGTTGTATCTTTGTCGCAGGCAGTGAATTCAAGCGCGAATTTCGTGAGCTCCTCGACTCCTATTGGATTGAGGCCGCACCCACTACAGTGCGCAACCCGCAAGCTAATTCTACAATCGAGAGGTTAAACCGCTGTATTAATGAGAAATTGCGCTCTGAGTCTATCACAATCAAGGCTGACTGGGAAAACTGCCTGTCAGCTGTAGCGTACGCGCTGCGGGCATCGCACCGTACCATGATGGGGTGCAGCCGGCTAAAGCGGCATTTGGCCGTGATTTAAAGCTCGATGTACCGTACGCAGTCGACTAGAAAGCCCAACAAGAGCAGAAAATGACTCAAGTGGCTACGGCTAGCACCAGAGAGAATGCCGGACGTGATACTCACGAGTATGTCTCGAGCGACCTGGTCATGGTATCAGGCAATGACTCGCGGCTAGCGAAAATCGACCTAATCTATGCCGGACCTTACGAGGTCGATGCTGTACGCAGCAACGGCACCGTTGTGGTAAGCAAACGAGGCTAATAAGAAACCATCCACATGCGTCGACTCCGACCTGCGATGGGGGGGCTATGTTATGATGTAAAAAGACTCAGGAAAAATCTCCCCTTAGACAGGAATCGGAGTGATAGTTTACGATAAAAAAGGCTCTAGGAAAGGGTATAAAAGGCCGAGCAAAAGTTAATGAGATCACTTTCTTCTCACTATTCACACAAGTGAGCTATGACACGCCGGACGATCCGCCAACACCCACCAGCATTGCAGCTCAATCCTCCGCTAGCAGTTATGGAGGCTCCACCTCCGACATCAGCACCATTACCATTCAAAATACCAGTACTATCGGCGGATTGCAAATGCACCTCGTAGGTCGGGATACTAACATGTACACGCTTTTGCGTGGGTACCACCAGAAGACAACACTGTCCGTCTTAGCTTCACGCGGACTTAACGTAAAATACTGCACGGCTCATATCGCACGCAACTTTGTGCACGAGAATTCCAGCGTCAAGCAACAGCACAAAATGCTAATTTGGATAACAGGCGACCTCAAACGGTCCATTAGCTCGACTTTTGCTTGCCATTCATATATGTAGTGCTGACCCAAATTATAGTATCGCTCGAGAAGAACGCTCGATGATTCAAACTTTAGAAATGTTTGTAGGCTGCTGACATATATTTTTAAAATGTATTTGCCACTACAGGAATAGCAATTTATACTGATACTGGCGAATTTAGTTTCGCATTCGGTAGTACTCTGTCACTATCCAGTCATGTCAGTTAAAAACTATACTTTACTAGCTAGCGTAAATTACGGAGTACCGGTACATGTACTGGTACGTAATTAAAAAACGACGAGTGGTTCCCGGGACATGATACAGTATCTATTGGTGGTCAGTGTTCTGGAAAACCCGGGTTTTCTCAAGACATTGGGTGGGTCGAAGAGGTTGCTGGGGTGGTTGGATAATGGTTTTTTGTAGCCCTATTCACTTACAAAAACAGTGTCTAGTCACTATTAGGAAATTGTGTTTAATACACAGAAAGAGCAATTCAATTCGCAATTCAATACAGACCTACCGTCTTACCCCGCATATAAGGCATAGGTGCTGTAAATGAATACAACGCTGCTTGTGTGTTATATTCGTTTAGAAAGCCTATGTGTTGTACAACGAACAAATTGTTTGACTTTGAAGAATCAAGTTTGTGGGTCCTGGAATCTGGCTTGGTCGTTTAGGCTTGACCCTCCTACGCGATCGGCGTGGGTTCAAACCGCCACGCTGTGCTTCTTGCTAAGAGCAGCAAAGCCGTGACCTTTCACGCCTATCCGAGTCTGCTAGAACAGCGAGTTTCTCGTGGATACTATAGCTACGTCGCTCAGCACTCATGACTGTGTAAATTATTAAATGAGAGAATTAAAGCCAAGTAACAGCAGCACCGACAAGTTTGTTCAGAAGGGTGGTTGGTTGGGAGCTCTCAAGAATATTAGGTTTAAGCTAGATGTCGAGCGAATCCCGAATTTATTTAGAACATATGCCTTATATGCGGGGTAAGACGGTAGGTGCCTCGACGGCTCGTTTTGGAGGAAGCGATTGCAACACGAGCATGTAGACCCGTCTAGTGGTGATGAGGAAGACACGGAGATTCGGCCAGTCGTAGACGGCGTGGTGGAGGATTGTTTGCTACGAGACGTGGTGGCACTGCAGAGAACGAGTATGCCTCTCAAGAAGGTGTGGGCTAAGCGCTGGATTAATGAGGCTACATTCTATCTGGTGCAGTGGGGAGAATACCATGAACTGACCTGGGAGCCTGTAGCCAACATTCCGTGGCAAGCGGCTCGTGAGTTTGAGCGAGAAACTATTGATTCTATTTGGATGTACCAGTCTACGCGGGGGCGACAACGCAAGCTGCGAACTGAGCGTCCACGTAGGCGTAATGCGCGACTCAGCGTCCATGAGTGAGTGCCGAGTATGCGTAGTACTACTATAGTAGCACTGAGCTACCACTGTAGCTTGGTACGTCGCTTGAATACAAGTATTGTTTCTTTTATGAGTAGCCGGTAAACGGGGTGGATGGGTTATTTAATAATCCACGTGGACGGGTGGGTAACCCTGGGGTAACCCTCTTCTTCATGGCAGCTCGAAGCGATTGGATGGCTATTTACACTTGCATGTTAGACCCTCGGCTAAAAACAGCGATGTCTTTCCACGTAAGTCTGGCGCTGTGTTTGTACCTTACACTCTTTCGTTAAGCTTTTCTCGCTGTTGCGGCAACCGGAGCCATGTCGGTAGCTGCAGACTACTCTGGTTGGGTGCGTGAGCTAGACGAATACCAGAGTGGCGATGGTCAAGCTGACGAGCGTCTTGAAGCTCCAAATGAGAGTGGGAAAGCGACCCGACAGTCATCAATTTCTACTGCGAATACAACCCGAAAGATGAAGCCACGAGCGACGAGCGCCATGTCGATCTCACAAACAGAAGAACTACAGCAAGAAATGAAGTTGCTAAATTGGCACAAACTAGCGAACGAGGCAGCTCTCAAGGCTGCCATCATCAAGACCAATAAGATCAAACAGGAAGACTCGCAATTCGCCAGTGCGCTCACTCAGGGTGAGCGCGAAGAGCGTGCGCAGCGTGCCCAGCAGATTATCGAAGAAGAGCAACTTAAGCCTTTGCAGGTAAACACGGAGTTTTTCCGCACTTTGGAAGCCAAAGGCCAACGTGACGAGGCCAAGTTCGACGACGATGTACAGCGCCACATCCAGCATCTTCGAAAACTCAAAGAGTCGATGACACAACGCGAGGATATGCAGCGAAGACGTCAACAATATCGCGAAAAGATGCTGGAGCTTCAAGCCAGTGGGAACGATTCCAGTCGGTCAAAGGCGAAGGGATCGAATCAAGACGAGGAAACCAGCTCACCTAACAAACGCGACCGTGGGAATAGTAATAGTGTGTATCACCTCGCTGCGATGGCTGCAGGAGGCAAAGCTGCACAAGACAACGCAAACGTAGTCACCAGTCTTGACAAACTGATGGAGCTGGAGCAGCGTATTAGGCATCTGGAAGATGCTGGCTTAGCAGTGGATGATCTTGACAACGCACGAGGTGGTAACACCTCAAGTAGAACAGCAGGGTCCAAGCAATCCGCCACTGGTAGCGGTCTCCGGTTTGCTAAAAGGAGAGCTACTGGTGGGCTGCATGAGCCCTCCAGAACGGTGTATGCTGTCACCGGGCCGTCTAAAATGCGTGCACGAGATAAAACAACAGTGACGTCAACACGACGAGCACAGGGGTCGACAGCAGCGGCGAACGCGAAGAAGCGAGCGCTTAATAGCAATACTGGAACGAGGAACAGGACCAGATCGAAGACAGACACGTTCCTTACGAGTCTCCCTGAGAACAAGCAGCGTCAACTTCGACGCATGACGGAACGTGAACGACGGACATTCCTTAAGAACGAGAAGGCGAAGGAAGCGCAACGACAAGCTCGCAAACAGGACGTCGTCATTGAAGGATGGCTTGAGAAGAAGCGCGCTGCTGCCAACCAACGGAAGGCCACCACATCGCACGTACGGGCTGGTGCATCGGCAAAGTCAACAACGGAAAGAAACCAGAAGCAGCGACTACCCCCACAACCGCGTGTAAGAGCCCCCGTGGGTGCTGCATCTGGGAAGCGTATTGCGAACACCCATCTACAAAAGCTAGATGACATCAAGAAAGGGTATACGAATCGGAAAGAGGCTTTCCAGCGTCTACCAGTCACAACTAACAGTAGATCTACGGGTCGTTTTGGTACGACAACAACACTTGCCACCCGAAACCAGCGATCTTTTGCTCGGAGCGCGGTAATTGGAGCTAATACTCGACAAACCTCTGGCTTGGGCGGAACCAGACTGCCATTCGCTCGCTCTACAGCTCCAGTCAGGTCGATGTCAACTCGGCAGCCACTAAGTCGACGTGGAGGACCGACGTCGGGTCCTGTGGCTGGGCAGGTCGCCAACAAGTTGCCCCAAATCCAACGAAATGCAGCGCCACTCAGTGCCATGATGCGTGGACCAGGCTTGGTGGTTGGCAACAGCGCCACCTTGCCACGATTATCGACTCAGTCAAGACCAGGACACATGCCGTCACAACCCCCAGCTGCTCGTAGCGGCAACATGCCGACGTTCAGTCGTCTGCACAAGCGGTGAGAGGACAGGATTATAAAACGATGTTGAAGTGCCTATGACACATGGCTACATACCCCTCCCAATCTGCAGTGTGAATAGACAGGGAAATAAAGGGATCAGCTCCTTTCCCATTGGCTAAAAAGACATAATTAAGTGTACCACATCGTGTGTATTTTACACCGATCCCTCACAGTCCGCCAGTCACCCTACGCCTTTCAGACCTAATGTCCTCCCTGCTGGGCGACGTGGCCGTTGAGGTGGTGGCAGCAGCATCATTAGCTGCCGCTGCGTCTGTCGCGGCCTTGGGTGTACACTACAAAAAGCGCCAGCGTGAGACCGACGAGTCCTCAACCCCCGCGCCCAAGAAGCGTCGCTACAAGAAGCTTGATGCCGCACAACCGAAACATTCGGTGGTTGTTGCTAACGGCGTCGCCATCAACACGGAGCCCGTGGTTGGGGAACTTAAGCGTCGTGCTGCGTCCACCAAGTGGCGTCACAAGCTCGTCTACACCTTCCTGGACGATTTGGGCCGTGAGACCGTCAACTTAAGCTTCGAAGATGTGGACCGTGCGGCTCGCAAAGTGGCCGCAGCGCTCCAACGTGACGCGCACGTGGTCAAGGGTGACCGGGTGGTGCTGTGCTTCCCCCCAGGTCTAGACTTCGCTCTGGCCTTCTGGGGCTGCCTATACGCCGGCGTCGTGGGTATTCCCGTGTACCCCCCTTACCCTGGCACTCTGGCCAAAGATCTACCTAAGTTTAACCGTCTGGTGGAGGACTCGGGGGCTGCCGTGGTCCTCACCAACACGACGTATCATCTTGCCAGTAAGATGGCTACAGTGAAAGGCTACTTCTCCACGTCCAGGACGTCGTGGCCCGCCAACTTGCAGTGGATCACTACGAATAGTCTTCCCGACTCGTTAGTTGCGCAATACGACGAAGAAGATGCTCTGTCATTAACGTCCAATGACGTGGCGTTCTTTCAATACAGCTCGGGGTCCACGTCAGCTCCCAAGGCTGTGATGATCTCTCACGGTAACTTACGAGCGCAACTGAAGACGTGGGAGAGCATTGAACCCACCGACACGATGGTCAGTTGGCTGCCGAGTTACCACGACATGGGACTGGTCGGATTCATCATAACTCCATGCGTCACAGCTGCGCGGTGTGTTAGTATGTCTCCTATTAGTTTCATTAAAGACCCGGCGTTGTGGATGCGCACTGCAAGTAAATACAAGGCTACGCATGTGTGTGCCCCGAATTTCGGCTATGCGTTGGCAGCTAGAAAGACTAGCGACAAGCAGGCGGCAGAGATGGATCTGAGTTCTCTCAAACAGACAATCTGTGCGGCTGAACCCATTCGTCGCGAGTCACTGGAGGCCTTTACGTCCAAGTTTAGTGGCTCCGGATTCGATCCGAATACTTTCAATTGTGGCTACGGATTGGCGGAAGTCACTCTGGTGTGTACGGGCCAAGAGCCGCCTCAGCAGCCAACGCTATTGGACGTTAACAAGCGCGTGTTGGAAACGCAACGTAAAGTTGCTGTTGTGAGCTCCAACAAGAAGGGAAAGAAACCCGAAGTGATGCAACTTGTGGGTTGTGGTAAAGCCATGCCCACATTTAGCGTCGCCATTGTGGATCCCGAAACCAAGCAGCCATTGGACGAATTACAAGTCGGAGAAGTATGGGTGCAGGGACCATCAGTGGCAATTGGCTACTGGAACCGACCGGAGTATACACAGGAGATGTTCCGTGCACAAGTGGCACACGAGAAGGACGCGACCAACACGTATTTACGCACTGGCGACATGGGTTCCTTCGTAAAGGCGAGTTGTTTGTGACAGGTCGACTCAAAGACCTGATCATCATTCGTGGTCGGAATGTATGTCCTCAGGATGTGGAAGCATCTGTTGAACACGCGCACGAAAATGTTCGTCCCGGATGCACTGCGGCCTTTTCGATCGAAAAAAGTGACGAGGAAGCGCTTGTCGTGGTCGCCGAGGTCAAGAACGGATCCTCGCAGGAGACACTCGAGGAGATTTGCCGGGAGATCATCAAGACGGTCCTGTCGGAGCACCAATTGAAGTGCGAAGCGATCGTTCTGTTGCGTCAGAAGACGATCCCGAAGACGACGAGTGGCAAGATCCAACGAAGTGCCTCCAAGGCTCATTTCTTGGATGGCACACTTGCTAAGCCTTTATTCGAGTACAGAGCGAAGGCAGGTTTGTCTTCTAGCGCTGGAAAGCCGAAGGAACAGCCTATTCCTACGTCTTCTGGAGCGGTGAAGACGTCGGACGAGATCCTCGCGTGGCTATTAGAACATGTGGCGCAGGAGATGGAGATGCCCACAGGAGAGTCGTCTGACGGCCAGAAAGCAACTGCGAATGCTGCCGAGATCGACCCAAACACACCGTGGGCCATGTTTGGTATGGATTCCGTGGCGATTGTGGGGTTATCGTCGGATCTAGGAGAGTTTCTGGGTTGCATTGTGTCTCCTTCGGCGTTTTTCCAATACGACACGCCGTTGAAGCTCGCCAATGCCCCCGGATTGGCGACGGGAGACCTCGCGGGCGACCAGGAAGGTGACGACCAAGCTGGTGCTCAGACGGCCACGACAGTTGCCGAGATCGACTCGAGTTGCTTTGAAATCGAAAATTTCCCCGAAGTTCAGGGCCTTTTTGGACAAATGAAAGAGTTCGAGAGTGCCGGACTACGTGTACCGTTTCTGGAGACGCTGACGCCGGCGAAGCGTCGCATGACGAACTTCAACACGTACAACTATCTCGGCAACGCGTCGGACCCCGAGGTTGCTGCGGCTTCAAAAGCAGGAATCGACGAGTACGGTACGACGATGAGTTCGTCGCCTATTGTGGGTCAGACGCAGGTGAATGTGGACTTGGAGACGGCGCTGTGTACGTTCTTTAAGGCGGAAGCCAGTGTTCTCTTCGTGGGCGGCTGGGTGTCCAATGTCACGACGATCGATGCGTTGGTGTCTAAAGGTGATCTGATTCTCTGTGACGCGCTTAATCACGACTCGTGTGTGAGTGGCCAACGTCTCAGTGGCGCCACTATCTTGCCGTTCCCGCACAATGACACGAAGGCTCTGGAACGTATGTTGTCGAAGCTTCGTACCAAGTATCGACGTGTTCTTATTGTCGTTGAAGGGGTCTACAGCATGGACGGTGACGTCCCGGATGTCCGAGAGATGATTCGTATCAAGAAAAAGTACAAGGCGTTACTGTTCATGGACGAGGCGCATTCGTTCGGTACGATGGGCGGTACTGGGCGCGGTATCTGTGAACACACCGAGGTGGACCCGAAAGACATTGATGTACGTATGGGTACGATGAGCAAGGCCTTGGGGTCCGTTGGAGGCTTCATCCTTGGCTCGAAGGCGCTGGTTAAATACCTCAAGCATTGTGCTGGAGGCTTCGTGTTCTCGGTGGGCTTAGCGCCGGCGTGTGGCTCTGCTGCGTTGAAATCGTTGCAGCTGATGACACAGAGTCCGTCACGTACGACTACTCTACAGGAGCGTAGTAAATGTTTCTATGATCTGTGTAAGGAACACAACATTCCTATGGGGGAGACCACTTTCCGTGGTGCTCCAGTGGTCGTGGTGATGATCGGAAGTACTATTGCGACTGCCAAAGCGTCCGAGTTCTTGGCGGTGCACAAGATCAATGTCAAGCCGATCGTGTACCCTGCGGTGGAGGAAGGGAAATGTCGTCTGCGCTTCTTTATCTCGGCGCTGCATACGCACAAGCAGTTGGAGGATACGGTCCTTGCGCTGAAAACGTACCTTCGGGACGGTTTTGTGGACAAGAAGACAGTTGCGAAGAGTGAGGACGAAGGATTCGCGACTAAGAAGCACAAGAAGGCTGTCAAGAAGCTCACTAAGAAGAAAAAGAGCAAGGCCAAGTCTACTATGCTATAGTTGATAGAAGAGAAGGGTAGATTTATGGATCTACAGTAATGTTCTTGTTGCGCAGCTTTAGTACATCGTAGCTTTTCTAAGACCAAGTCTCATTTGTCATTTTTTATGAAGAGTTTTGTTATTATTAGCTGTAAGCATTAATATTGAGAATTATATTGGGATAATATTAATTAGAATATGTACATGAGGTCTGCTAAGAGTTATAGTATTACCCGGAATAACTTAATTCAGATCATACTTACCTGACTGGTGCTTGACGTTGCTCAATGAGGGCGTTGACATGAGCCGGAGCAGGCCCCTTGCACTCCGGTGCTGTAAGGGTTCAGGAATGCTCTTTTGAGTAATTCCACAGTAGAATTTTTGTCAGCGGGGGTGAGCGCGTGCGCCGCCCCCACCTCCACCCTTTTCCTAGAAACTTACCCTGATTGCTAAAAGACTTCACAACAACGCTAGAAAGCTACAGCGGATACGTTGCCTATACTAGTGGACACCTCAATGGAGACATCATTATAGAAAACACTGTGTGTTGGAAATCCCTCGTGAACTCTAGCTACAAGTGTAGATAGGTTGTTCCCGTACCAATACGTCTACCAGAACGGCAAGCGATATATCGAGCGGACCTGAAGACCACAAATATGCCCAAGCAGCAGGGCAGATTGGACCTTGCGAATAGCTTATATAGGCCAACCAGTGAAAATGATAACACAATAGCACGAGCAAAGCAAGCAGGTGTTTTGGATCCTCGTGGTCCCAACAGCAGAACGGTACCAGGCACGGGCAAGTCTTTAACGAGGGCAGTTAGTGTTTAGAGCTCCGTTGGAAGAATAAGAGGGATGCAACACGCAATTCCAGTCGTACAAATACGCAAAATAAAGCCGTCACGTAAACCTTCCGATATATAATCGGTCAAAACACAGACAGTCTCTTGGCCTTGCCGAAAAAATCCTCGCTAGTAAGCTTCGAGTCTACCGACAGGCATAACACATACAAGTAAACTTGACGAGACGATTACCTCGAAGCCGGACGTCGCTTGTGCACCTGAGTGAAAATCCTGTTCTGTGTTAGTATTGCCCTTTCGGGTCTATTCCTAATAAGTAGTCCTAAACATGTATACTAATATCAAGTGAGCTACGATCCGTTATGGATCGCTTCGCATATCAATCGACGCAAGAACCTTCGCCTGCTTTTTGCAAGAGGCGCTCTTAACCACCACACGGCGGTGCTTTCTGGTGCCGGACGGCTCATCGCGCTTGTGTTTCCACCCGACCGACCCTTCCGGGGGATCGCTAAAGAGGTCCCTCGTCGGGAAGGCTCTCGTGATAGACATGGTATCTGGAGAGTATGTAACTACCCAAAAGAAAGGCCCGTCACAATTGACCCAGGTCGAGCAACAAGAATCAATCGTGACCCAATTAGATTAGTTTGGGTCAACATTGACCCAACTTTAGATAATCAGGGAACATATGACTATTCTAAATGCCTTTGGGTCAAAGCAAAGTCAACCCTTTATCAAAAACATGGGTCAATGTTTACAAGTCTGTTACAAGAGAAGGTTTTGATTTATATAGTTACAAACGAATTCTTCATATGAAATAGTTCTGGGGTCGCTCATGTCGATGAAACATCGTCTCGACACAAGGGTTGTTATTGACCGATTGTACTCCACAACGCCAAGCTCATCTCTCATGAAACCTTTCACTCCGGCGACAAGTCATGATCAGAATTGACCTGGTGTATATACTGCTGCATTCGCTTTACAGAGCTCATCCACGGGCTGCGGATCGTTGGGCTTCCGTGGTATTGACAACGATCTTAATCATCTTATTGCATCCGTTATGGAAAGTCACAGAGATTGTGGAGAGGATGACAGTGATAGCACGAGTTTAAAGGACAATGACGACAGAAGCAGCAGTGCGAGTGACAAATGAGAGACGTTCAGCGAAGTCAGCCAGAAAACAGACACTATGGATTATAATTTTTTTCCGGCTATCCTGACTACAATTTGGACGGTACCTATGTCTCTCACATTTTAGATGATGATTTTGAATGGGTCAACGATTCTCTTCTTGATTTGGTATGCAACTATTAGCTAGAGGTAGAGGAAAAAGAACGATGCTGGCAGCACCGAAACTATGTCAGAATGCTCAGCTGATTATTTAGTTACCAGCTGGCGCTGCTTTAGTTACGAGGCTTTTGCGATCGTAACATCTTTTACTACGGTAGTAATAACAGTAAATCATGTTTTTGCTCGAGATCGAATAAACTACTTCACTGAAGTACTATTAATACGTAATATTACTACCGGTTAGTAGTTTTACTAGTAGCAATGATTTATTTTATTGCACGATGTCCGTGAGGCTTGCCGCGGGGGCTAGGCTTACCTCAAATTTGATAATTCAAATCATACTTACCTGACTGGTGCTTGACGTTGCTCAATGAGGGCGTTGACATGAGCCGGAGCAGGCCCCTTGCACTCCGGTGCTGTAAGGGTTCAGGAATGCTCTTTTGAGTAATTCCACAGTAGAATTTTTGTCAGCGGGGGTGAGCGCGTGCGCCGCCCCCACCTCCACCCTTTTCCTAGCAAACTTTATTAGAGCACTGATTGCTAAAAGGCTTCACAACAACGCTAGAAAGCTATTCGTG